CATGTTGTATATTCCACTCTCTTTTCCCCTCTTGGAATATAAACTCCATGAGGTCAGGGGCTATTTAATTTTTGTCTTCATATTCTGATAACATAGTACAGCATATGGAACTAGCAGTTGCTTAACAAATGCTTATTGGTCAATTGTCAAAATTTCTGTGCTCAGGATTCTGAGAGAGAGAGAGACAGAGAGAGAGAGAGAGAGAGAGAGAGGGAAGGGAGGGAGAGAGAGAGAGGGAGAGGAGAGAGAGAGGAGAAGAGAGAGAGAGAGAGAGAGAGAGAGAGAGAGAGAGAGAGAGAGAGAGAGAGAGATGTATTTGAATTTGTACAGCGTGTGTATTAATTCAGCGAGAGTTTCTGATTGTTACAGCATTTTTCTTGACATTCTGAAAGAAGAAATTTCATGACTCAGGATAATAGTCTGCCTGGGCAGTCACAGAGCCCTTAGCTTGCAGATTTTGGGAAACAAGTCAAGCTGTGACAGCTTAAACTAATGACCTTAGGAAAACTTCTCCAAGGAACACAATGGGAACTGAAGTTCAAAAAACTGGGGGATGGATGGATGAAAGAACTAGGTGCTCAGGTGAAGTCTGGATAGAAGCTTACCTTAAAATTCCCTTTGCTTCTGAGAGCTGGGCTATATAGGTGTGGCAAATACAGTCTTTTTGTTCTTCTGTTTTCCCAACTAGACTTAGCATCTATCCCTTCCTGCCCCTAAGAGTAGGGACTATGCCTGAGAATCATAGGATCATAGATCATTGTAGAGCAGGGGTGGGGAGCCTGCAGCCTTGTGGCCACATGAGTGTCAAAGGGCAATACTTGAGGACCTGGAGGGCCACATGTGGCCTTCACGCTGCAGGTTCCCCACCTCTGAAGAGCATCAAGGGACCTTAGGGAACAGGTAGTCTAACACCCCAAATTAACATATGGAGAAACCGGACCCAGGGAGGATCAATAACTTGTCTATGTTGTTTTGGTGTGTGTGTCCTGTGATGGCTAATACAATTAGAGAATAGAATAATATGGGGGGGGGATTACTTGATATTTGTGGTGGTTAGTAATAAGAGATAATTATATTATCTAGGACTAGGATCTTCAACACAAGGTAGAGGAATTCGGGCAGATTTCCTGGATGTAGACCTTAGGAGTCATCTGGTGAGAATCACAGTCTCAAGAGTTGGTAGGGACCTTGGAAGTCGTCTGGTACAATTCGTGCAACATTCTACAACATTCAGTATGTGGTCATTGAGCCTTCAGGTGAAGATTTTCAGTAATGGGGAAGCAAATACCTCTTAAGAGAGCTCATAAAATAATATTTGTAAAGCATTTAGTAGAATTAAGGCACACAGTAGGCACTTAATAAATGCTTGTTTTCTTCCCACTTTTCTTTCCCTTCCACAAGCATAATCACTCTTCTACTTGCAGCCTTTCAAACATTTGAAGATAGTCAACATTATGTCTACTCTCAAGTGTCCTTCAAAGAGCTCAGCTCTGGCAATGCCTCATACATGCTAAAAATCCACCCCATCCTTATTTTTAGTACTCTGTTGAAATCGTGTTTCATTACTTTTTATACTTTATTAGATTGTGTATACTTTGCATATAGTCTTCTGTGTACCTGTATTCCTTGCCACTGGAATGTAAATATTAGGTTGAAATGAATCTATGTTGAGACAATCCTTGAAATCAAAGAGTTTATTTCAATAAAGAAGACTTGAAGTCAGGGGCCACCTGGGATTAAATCTTGCCTTTGCCATTTTCTTAGCTGTGTGACCAAAGCAAGGTATTTCTTCTGAGTCTGAAATAACCAGAAACAAAGAAACCACTGGGGAAGATGAAATTTGATGTTGCTTTAAATCGGGGGGGGGGGGGAAGGGTGTGAGCCTTAATCCAACCTTTTTGGGGCATGTGTGTGTGACTTTAATAAATTTATGGATCCAGATGGTTAAAATTTTAGTGCCTTGTGTTGACATCATCTCCATCACACTTAACAGACACAGGCACAAAAATATAATTGTAAATCTAGCAAGGACTTTAAAGGACATCTGTCTAAACACTTCTTTTATAGGTATATCAACTGAAGTCCAGAGGTTAAGTGAATCTTCTGAGGTCACACAGTTGCAAAAAAATAGAATCCAGACTTCTTTTTTCCCAGTTGATTCTCCTTTCACTAAATTACAAGTTTCTCATATTTTTTCTTCTTCTTTTTTTTAAAGGTAGGGAGATATAAGAAACAAATCAATAGACCACAGTTTTAATTAGGAATTTCCATTGACTTCCCAAAGGTCATATTGTGGACTACTGATTTTCCCCTCCCTCAAATGTTGCTGGGGTCATCACAAATGGCCATGTTATTTCAAACTGCATGACAAAGTAACCTTCACAAATGTCACCCATGCACTGGGAAGATGAATTCATTTTGTTTAATATAAAAGTTCATCTGGGATCACTTAGAACCATTCTATCTCAGAAACAGCAATTTCTGTCTTCTTTTCAAGGAGCATGAAGGAAAACCTCTCAATCTTGATTTGGACATGGGATGGAAGACACTAGGATTAATGGGGCATACACAAGGTTTTATTCCAGGGTTTTAGAAAAGTAAACCTGAAAATTGTTCAACAAGTCTTCCTCCTGATCTAGTGATTCCCTTGCATAATTCCTGTGGATCTTTAAGTGTAAGTGGAGTCCAGAGTTGTAAGAAGCCAGAAGAGGACTGGGCTTTACCCTGGGGTGCCAACGTACAGGGGAGGCACACAATTACGGGAGGGCTGGACTCTCACCTTGCATCAACCACTATTCACGTCCCTCAGTTCATAGCTCTTACTGGCCAGTGCTAAACCCTGAGAACAGCACCTTCCCTCTTAATCCTGAAGATCCAATGAGATAACGACCATTTAGCACAGTGCCAGGCACATAGTAGGTGCTTCATAAATGCTGTTCCCTCCCTTTCCTCTCTTCGTGGGATAAGGGCCAGAGTATTTCCTTCTCTTGGCCCAACTGCACAGTGGTCAGACTGTTGGAACTGTTCTCAGTGCACCTGATTCTTCCTGCCATCTGTCCTATTTTTTCAGGGTCTGAAGCAGAAATGGAGAAAAGAAGTAACAAAATAAGATCAAATATACTCATTAGGCATGGGCAGGGTCGGGGGCAGAGGGAAGGAAGAGGCAAGCTAAAGAAAAGTTAGTTAATGGGAATATTCCCCAATGAAAGGTCAGCAGAAGTGAGAAACTCAGTTCACTTCAGTGAAGATTTGTGCAAGTTAGAGAGCTGGAGGTAGGAAGGCCTTACAAGAACTGCAAGTAGAACACAGAGGACAAATTTGGATGTGATTATTTTATTTTCAAAAAGGATAGAAAGAAATAGAAGGGAGGTAATTTTTCTTATTTGTTAGCAGCATCAACACCTGCTGGAGTGAGGGGGCCTTACAAGGTTTGTGACTGAGGTTTTTCTCTCAGAGTAATTTAAAAAATCAACCAGCAAGGTTGATAGCTGTGTCCTAATATGTGCCAGTTACTATGTGAGTCATTGGAGATCCAAAGATGAAAACAAAAACTATTATCATGATCGGATGGATTTGAAGGATGTAGATGGGCAGGGAAGAACAGGGAGAATATTCTGGACTGGAGAAAACAGCCTATAGAAAAGTAGAATGAGAATGTGTTGTGTATATGCTAGAATGGGCTGTTTGGGTGTCCTGACTTCTCCCTCACCCCACCTTTTTTTCCTTCTTATTCCCTATTCCTGAAGACCATCTGTCTGCATGTAACCTCCCCACAGTCCCAGTGATGGCACTGAGGTGTCAAGGGTGCATCAGTGGTTGGCCTGGTCCATACCTTTGTGGCATTATTGGACTCTGAAACCCTGAATTGGACTGTGGCGGTGCTTGGCCTGGATCCTATTTCATCAGTTTCTCTTCACACACCTTCACCTACTGCTTGGTGGGACACTGGGAAGTTATGGTGAGGTTAGCCCATGCTCTTCCCACATTCATGGTGGTGATAAAGGTGGCCAACACTGATTATAGCTCAATGCATAGCAGCAACTGGACCACCTTCTAGCTTCGTTGGTTCCTCTTGCCTCTTCCTTTCTGCTGCCTTGCCTTGTAGGTGTTTGACCACCAATCCAGCCATACTTGACATCCAACCAGATGCCTGCAATAAGGCAAGCCTGTTTCTTTCCTTTGCCCCCCACCAAGCACATTAAGGGCAAGAAAACTTGGACTTGGAATCCAGACACTCTCTTTGTTAGAAAGTTGACTAGGGTAACAGTATTTTATCTCATCAGACTTGAGCACCCACAGAGGACACAACATTCTTTAGTTGGGGCTAAGGCTGGCAGTGGGGAGAAGCACCATTAAGTACCCTTGAGCTCATTAAGTGTGTTTTCAGAATTAGTTCATCCTTGCTCTCATGTATTCACTTTGCTCCTGGGGCAGGGTACTAGGGGTGTTATCCATATTAGATTTAGTGTTAAACAGGATGTGATATAATGATAGCAGGTGATGTGTTTAAGATCCAGGAGCAGCCATTTCCTCAGAGGATCTTTACAGAAAGATACAAGCAACTTAGGTCTGAGATGCTTGGGCTTTTTTTTTTTTTAAAGACAGTTTAAGCCTTGGAGGGTGGGCAAGAATAGCACCTGGATGGAAAGTTGCTAACATATTCATCATGTTTGGCCCAGGGATTCCGTTCCTAGGCATATAACCTAAGGAAGTCATTGATAAAAAGAAAGATCGCATATGTACCAAAATACAGAAACAAAGTAGATATCCATCAACTGGGGATAGGATAAACAAATTATGTTAGATGAATGTGATGGAATATTCTTTTAAGAATGTAAGAATCGGGGCAGCTAGGTGGCTCAGTGGATAGAGCACTGGCCCTGATTTCAGGAGGACCTAAGTTCAAATCGGGCCTCAGACACATAACACTCACTAGCTGGGTGACCCTGTGCAAGTCACTTAACCCCATTGCCTAATCCAAAAAAAAAAATGTAAGAATCTATGAATACTGAGAAGCATTGAAAAATTTACATGAATGGATACAGTGATATAGAGAACCAAGACTATACACAATGTAAATGGAAAGAAAAGTAATTAGAAAACAATGAAAAATGGAACACAGGGAAAATTACAAAGTCTAAACTTGGTCCCAGCAGAGAGATATGAGAAGACACTTCCCTCCAAGCCCTTTAGAGAGGTTGGGGGTGGGGGGAGGGAAGAGCTTCATGGGTATCTTATATATGTTGTCAGATTTTTTGTCAGTTTTGCTCTTTCTTCTTTAAAAAAAAAAAACTTTGTTCCATGGGAGGCTCTCTTTAACTGGGAGGTATTTAGTCAATGCAAAAACAAAAGACAAGGATAGAAATATATTTGAAAAACTAGCACCCTGATGTTGAGGACGCATACCCACTTACTCTCTCTCACAGCTGCAACCTTGAATCTAAGTAGGTGAAAAAAGGCTCAGATTTTCTCAGTCATGTATTATGACTTGCCAACATGAATATCTGACATTTGCTTAGGGCACTACATTTGGATAACACTTTTCTATCTTTTATTTCCTCTGATGTTCACAGTTAAGTATTCCCGTCATTTCCGAGGAGAGGAAAATGAGACTTAAGAGACGGGGGTGAAAGTGGTTAGATTTCCCTCTCCCAAAACAGAGATTGGCCACGGAAGTCTCAGCAGCACTGACAGTGGTCCAGGGGTGTTTTCAGCACGGCCCCGGGGGGTAGGGGGTTCTTCAGAGATGATCTGGCTGGTCTAGCCCTGGGAGGCTTCTTGGGCCAGGCACGGCTCCCTCTTCAGCAGCAGGTCCTGAGACTGTGCTTGCAACCCCCCCGCTCCCAGGTCAGTCCCCTGCGCGGTCTCCCGGCTCTCTAAAGACCTTGAAAGGTCCGCCATGCCCGGGCACCACGACGTCGGCAGCCGCCAGCACCCTCTGCCTGCTGCGCTCCTGGGCTCTGGGGTCCTCGCTGAGCTGCCGCCACGTGTCGCCGTCGTCCTCCCGCTCGAACACGTCTCCCGCCGCTACGACTGTGCCCAAGGAGGTGCCAGCTACCGCCACGCTGACGTCACCGAGCCCCGCGTGGCCGGGCGTGGCCCACACCTCGAGGCCCGGGCCGAGGCGCAGCGGGCACGCCTCGCTCAGCCCGTGGGGCATGTAGAGGCCCCCCGGGAGGCAGAAGTCGTGGGAGACGAGGAGCGCGGCACGCGGGAACAGCCCCAGGCTGCCCACGTGGTCCGAGTGGCCGTGGGTGCCCACCACGAGGGTCACGGCGTCCGGGGCCACGCCGTGCGCGGCCAAAGCGGCCAGCAGGGCGTCTCGGGCCCAGGGCCCTCCCGTGTCCACTAGTACGGGGCCCGAGCCCGCCTGCTCCAGGGCGGCCTGCGTGTCCAGCCCCGCGGGGTCCCCACGCGCGTCCCGCGGCTCCCACGCTGTGGGCAGCACCAGCGTCACGGAGCCGTCCGCCCTCTGCGCGCCCCCGGTCCCCTGCGGCTCCGAGTAGCCCCGCAGCAGCACTATCACCGAGTAGGGGTCCCCTGGGATCGACAGCGGCGGGTCCCCACGCAGGGGCTCTGTGCGCACCCGCGAACTCATGGCTGGGAGCAGCCAAAGAAGAAGCGAGCACGCTTGAAAAGCGCCAGAGACTTTTGACCTCCCTCAGGATCCGTATCTCCGGGAGCGGACTGCCAAGATGGCGACTCCCATGTCTACTGTATTTCCGGCTCGGACATCCGTACGGAAATCTGTCTTGTATACGTAATTTCCGGCTAACTGAAACTAGGCTTCTGGTGCAGGCTCAGGCGCAGACGGGGCGGTGACAGAAGGGCGGAAGTTGGTCCGAAGGTGAAATTAGAACCTAGAAGAGTGTCCGCCCCGTGCGATCAGCTCTTTACTCTTGCTCACCCCTCGTTCCACTCGCGCAGCTAATGCTGCCGCGTTCTTAGGCTTCTTTCCCAAACGTGTCTTCTTTCTTTCTTTCTTTCTTTCTTTCTTTCTTTCTTTCTTTCTTTCTTTCTTTCTTTCTTTCTTTCTTTCTTTCTTTCTTTCTCTCTTTCTTTCTTTCTCTTTCTCTTCTTTCTTTCCTTTCTTCTTCTTTCTTCTTCTTCTTCCTTCTCCTTCTTCCTCCTTCCTTCTTCCTTCCTTCCTTCTTTCCTTCCTTCCTTTCTCCCCCTCCCTCCTTTCCTTCCTTTTTCTCTTTTTCTTTCCCTTTCCCTTTTTCTCTTTCATTTTCTCCCTTTTTTCTCTCCCTTCCCCCCATTCTTTTTCTCCCCTCTCTTTTCTCTCTCTCTTGCTAGCCCCTCTCTTCACCCCTCTCTTCCTCAGAGGGAAGCAGGATGGGTCACCCCCAAACCCTCTTTTTTAATGGGCAGAGCAGCTTTCCGCTGCCACCCCTCTCTTTTTCTCTCTGGACCCCCAAGCCAGTGTCTGTACTACAGGCTTTCTCCTTGCCCTCCCGTGCTTAGTTTGGGGCTGATAGACCACCTGACCCTCCTCAGCAGGGCCCTAGGAGAGGTGCATTTGGAACCTCGTTCAATAGGTCAACAAACATTTATTAAGCACCTATATGTCTGTACTATATGTCAAGCCTTGCACTATTTATGAATATTTGTGTGTCTTTCGATTTTTGGTCTTGGTAAGAATCATAGTAGCAATTCAACAACATTCCCTTCTCATATTCCTGGCACTGTGTTTAACACAGAAGGACCTGAGTTCATTGCCACTGCACACACTAGTTAGATGACCCTGGGCAAATGTTAACCTCTCTATGCTTTAGTATCCTTATGTATAAAATGAGGGAGGGGATGATGAATTGCATGGCCTCTAATGTTCCTTCCTGCATTAAATCTAAGATCCTATGGTCTTGGGAAAACAAAGAAAAAACAAAAGAATCCTTAACCTTGAGAAGCACACCTTCTGATGGAGGTGGAATACGTGTATACTGTATCTATTGTACGTACATTGTTACACTGTACTTGATATTGTCGGTCCGGGAATGTTTTTGCTCTCCTGGTACTGATGCAGTTTGAAGGATCCAGGGACCCTTCAAGGACGGAAGTACAGGACAGGGTCGTGTGGAAAGAATTCACTTAAAGTCAAGTTGGCAAAAGTTCATTGTTATGCTAGTCAGCAGGCAAAAGTTAAGAAAGAAACCTGTGACCTTAGATGGGTATAGTTAAAGTTTATATAGGAAAAACTATAGTAAACCATGTGTCAGGTATGCTAATTAGGTGATTCAGAGTGGGATTTGGGATTGGGTAAGGAGTGGTCAGTTCTTAAAGGGACATGCACTTTTTGTATCTACTTTGCAGGCTTTTTACCCAGAGTTCACGAGGAAAAGCCCAAGTAGGGGCCACAGGGAGGTGTGGTTTTTTAAGTCTGCTAAGTCATTAAGTTAACTAGCTGTCAAGTCCCCCTGAGGATTGTCTAGTTTGACACTAATCAATGTCTTGTTTGACAAGATAGATGTAGAGATAGTACATGTGTTTTAAGTCTAGGATACACACAATGAGGAGTCTAGGATGCATATAATAAGGTCGGGAGTTGGTATGGCATCCAAATTCTTTTTTTGTTTGTTTGTTTGTTTGCTTTTTTAGTGAGGCAGTGTAGTTAAGTGATTTGTCCAGGGTCACACAGCTAGTAAATGTCAAGCATCTGAGGCCAGATTTGAACTCAGGTCCTCCTGACTCCGAGGCCAGACTTCTATCCACTGTGCCATCTAGCTGCCCTTGGGGAGTTGGTATAGATAGTCCAGTGGATACCAAATATCATTATGAGCCAGTACAAAGGCAGTTCAAACTAATAATTCTTACGAGTGTGCCAAGGAGAGAGGTAAGTGTTTTGCTGGGGTCCACTCATGAGTAATTGTTGGGCAGTGTCCTTGGTCTAGGGAGAAACTGCTAGGGATAGTGTTTTTGAGTGTAGGGAGAAATATGGTCTTGGAATTGGGGTCTGAGCACAGGCATCCAAGCACCCCATCAGTGTCCTCAATGTTTAGCACATACCTGCTTAACAAAAACTTGTTGACTGACGTAGAAATCAGAACCTATAAGATGAAGACAGACCAGGTGGAAGGTAATCTTAGAGAGTATGTCACCAATAGTATCTATTCATAGAAGTCATTTTGTTAGATTTACATGTTTATGTTAGGGTAGGAATTTTTCCCAGTCTATGAGCTTGCAAATGTTCTTGTAATACTGCCTCTTACCCCAAGAAAAGTAAAATCTTTTCAACTAAGTGAGGTTTAGTATACCAAAACATCGACTGGCCTGCTGTGACCTTAGGTGGGTATAGCTGAGAGTTGTTGGCTAGGAAAGAGTGAGTCTTGAAATTCCTTTCCAGGACTGTGTGGAGAATGTTGGCATGGAAACATGAAAAGATTTGTTCGTTGGTAACAGTAGTGTGACCAGTGGACAGAATATTAAAAGTTTGGAAATTCATACCAATTGTACAACAGATAAACTGTAAGCTTCCTGAAGAAAGGCTTTATTCTTTTTTTTGTATCTTCATAATTACCACAGTGTCTGGCCTATGTGGTTGTTCAGTCGTTTCAGTTATATCTGGTAAAAATATTAGAGTGGTTTGCCATTTCCTTCTCTAGTTCATTTTTACAGATGAGGAAACTGAGGCCAACAGGATGAAGTGATTTGCCCAGGGTCACAGAGCTAGTAAGTGTCTGAGGCTAGATTTGAACTCAAGTCTTCCTGACTTCAGGCCCAGTGCTCTGTGTGCACTATGATGTCACCTAGCTCCCACGAATGCCCCCCCCCCACCAATATAGTAAGGACTTAATAAATGCTGGTTAATTGATTGATTTAAATTCATGTTGAAGAAATGCTTTGTTGTTCTCAGAGGAGATCACCACAAGATGTTAGTGAGATTTTTAATTATTGTTGTCATCAGAGTAATATGCTATAGTTGAGAGGAAAAAAACATCAAATTACAAATATTTTTCAAGCACTTACTGTGTGCAGCCATGACTAGAGGATGTACAAAATTTACATTAGCTTTTAGAGGAGGTAGAGGGGAATAGTCTGAGATAATCAGGAAGGCTCTTACCAAGGGATCAAATCTAAAGGTACTACTGAGGAAGGTTATGGAGAAACATTTATTTATTATCAACAAATTATGTTTTCCCTAGAGTAATAGGGGAATATGCCAAAGCTTTTCAATATGAGTTATTCATAGATTCATGGAATTTTAGAAATAGAAAGATCCTTAACATTCATCTGGCCCATTTTGCAGATAAGAAAACCAAACCCCTGAAAAGTAAGGTGATTTTCCCAAGAATTCACAGTAAGTGACAAATACAGTTCTCATATGAAAAAACACAGCATATTCTTTTAGGGGAGAAAAAGACCCCTTAAGCATGTAAAATTCTGTAACTTAAATTTATTTCTGATTAATTTGCAACATTAAGTACAACATATTTAACAGCATCACACTTTTACAATCCAGTCATATAATTTGTGCTTTGTAAGATAAGTAAACATTTATTCTATCACAATAAAGGCTACATATACTTATTAAGAGTTATTCTGAAAAATAAAAACACTCTTTCTATTTCACAAGACAAAGTAATTTTGGTTTAGACAAAGTATGTTGGTTCAGTTTTGATTTGAACATTGGGCATAATGTGAATTCTGTGATCTGAATCATCTGGGACCATCAAATGGGCCTTTGAAGCCTGTATAGCCAAGGAAAAGATGCTTTGGAGAAAGAAAGTCAGGCAGGGAACCTTTCTGGCCATTTCAGCATGGGCTTGGATAGAAATAGGTCTCAGGGCAATCGTTTTGATTATATGACTCTTTTTCATCCTTTATTTTAAACTTTAGAATCTGCAAATTCAGAAATTTCAGAATCTGCAAAAATATTTGGTACAAAAGGAGAATATTTGAAGAATTCCTTTGAGAAACTTTGAGCAAAAATAAAAGGTATGGAGTACTTTATATTGGTGGAGCAGAGGCAGCATTCTTGTTGTGTAATAACATTATTGTGGGAGATGAGCACTGTTGTTTTCCATGGCAGCAAATCTGTTTTTTAAACTCTTTGAAGATGACAAATTTTTTTTTTACCCCAAATTCATTGCCAATCTCTTCGGCAGAGTCAGGAGAATGAATAATGAAGTGTGTGCTACAACCTGGTCATGTCAGGGCCAGCATATGACATTATACCAGTCATAGGAATGTCTTGATAGGAGCAGTGCAATATAGCATACTGTTCTAAAACATTCATATTCAAAATGAGCCACTGAGTTCAGAAGTCAAAATAAAATGAAACTCTGAGGTGATTTCCTCAAAGCATTTTTTTCTAGTATGTTCTTAAAATAGGGATTGTATAATCATATTGTAAAGTTATTTAGAGAAGTCAATATTTTACCCTGAAAAACTGGCATTTTTATAATTACAGAAGTTTTCAGATGCTTTAGAAGAAGGGCAGCAGTTGCTGGTGGATTAACTGAAGAAATAGAAATATCTCAGTGGAAGCCTTGGAAATATTGTGGGTGAGGTCTATTGAGACAGATCTGAAAGAGACATTTTGAGCCTAATTTTGTTGTCGTTCAGTCATTTCAGTCATGTTCAACTCTTTGTGACGTCGTTTGGGGTTTTCTTGGCAAAGATATTGGAGTGGCTTGCCACTTCCTTTTCCAGCTCATTTTACAGATGAGGAAACTGAGGCAAACAGGGTTAAGTGATTTGCCCAGGGTCACACAGCTAGTAAGTGTCTGAGGCTAGATTTGAACTCAGGAACATGAGTCTTCCTGACTCCAGGCCCAGTGCTCTGTGCACTATGGTGCCACCTAGCTGCCCCTTTGAGCCTAAAAGGGACCTAGAATTTCTGCCATCATTTCTTAAGTATTCCTGTGGTTTTTGCTTACCTTCTGAATGACTACCATGTAAAGGTTACAAGAAATCAATACCATTGTTTACAAAATTCTTTTGACCAATATTAATTTTAAGTTGATTCATGTAAATAAAGATATTCACGACATTTTGTTATATAAATATGTAGCCACAATAATCTTCATTTGGTTCAAGCCTATTCACAAGCTTACCTATATCAGAGCAAAGAAGAGTTTCCCTTTTGATACAGTATGTTCTAAAGCACAGTATTTCAAAACTCACCCGCAGGGTCTAATGATAAATAAAAACTTCTTAATTTCATTTCTTTTGAGCATATCCATATGTAATACACTTTGGGAGCAGATTTTTTTTTTAAATTCTGCTAATGTTATGGGAAAACTTATAGCATTGCACAAACCACTGTAACCTAAGCTGGAATAAAAGATGAAAAGACTTTACAGGGACAGCTGCCTTATCCCAATTCTAGGAGCCAGTCAAATAGGCTTGGTTTCAGCTCCTTTCTCTCCTCGTGAAGCTTGCAGTATTGGACCACTGCATGAAATATGTCACCCACCTTCCAGGCCTTCTGATGAACTAGCTGCACAACATCCAGGAACTGCAAAGAAGTAGAGCATTAGGTTCAATTACTTATTGGATCTTCTTTGACTTATGAAAGCATTGCGTGACAATAGATATAGCCATTGGTTTGTTCTCTATCTTTTGGGTCATTTTTCTTTTCCAAACACAGAGATCAAATTCAAAAAGTTGTCCCAGGTAGCTATGGTTACAAAGAGAAAGTTGTGGGAATCACCTAGATTATTTACTTGGTTGGGTTCACAAATGGCCCCGTAATTCACTTTTGCTATTGCAGAGGGAAAGAGAGAGAATTCTGGAATTTAATGGCAACCAAAAGAGTGTGAATTGTTCTAGTTTTTGTCTTGGTGACATGTGACATGTGACAGGTCTTGGAATGCCAGTGGGGCTATAAGATGAGTAGGTGTATGTATATATGTATGTCTGTATTTCCATCATCTATCTATCATCTCACTCTCCATCATCCATCCATCCATCCATCCATCCATCCATCATCCATCTATCCATCTATCTATCTATCTTAAGATATCTAGTATCTTAAGGAAATTGACTTCTTCCTTTGAATCATTACTTACTTGCAAGCGGTGGGACGTGTAGAGGGAGAGTAAAGGAGGGAAAAAACATGAGTTCTGGAGAACTTTCATTCAACTTGTGTTTCTGCTTCAAGTTACATGAATTGCTAGGTATTTTCTGGAGTGGTAGCAGATGGTTGCCTTCCGTGTATCACTATTTGGAATCCAACTGACTGGGCTTCTGGTTCTGATGGCTTGCTGGTGCTGGCAGCCTAGAACTATGGAAATGCCACTGCAACAATTGCTATTAGAGTTCATTACTCCAAATGACTTAATATTGACTGATGAAGCTACTTGGATTCAAGTCTTTGTCTTGCCATTTACTGACTGAATAAATATGGACAAATCATTTATATCACTGAGCTTCAGTTTCCTTATCAGTAAAATGGGGATCATTATACATGACAAACTCATGAATAGAAAACAGATCTCAGGGTGAAGGAGATGCTAAGAGAAATAAGACTAAGGTTAAGAATAAAACACAGAGGAGATAACAGTTTTCTGCTTCACCTGTCACAACTCCAAAGCCAGAACAAAAACCCCCCAAAATGAGAGAGGTTACCTAAAGAGAAATGAAGAAAGGCTGACACCAGCATGGATCTCCAATACAGATAAAGCATAGAAAGCTTGAAGTTGCCAGAGATGCCAAGTAAATGGTGTGGCTTTTTTGATAAATATGTACTTCATATGACTATGATTTGGAATACTATTTCATTAAATTTTACAAAAATCCAAGTATTTAAAAGAAAGTCTTTGCCTATCGCAGGGTTATGTGGAATACATTTTGTAAACTTTTAAATACCATGTGAACTTGAAATATTGTTGCTCTCATTCTTTGAGGCCTTTGGGATAAAGGCTTGGCCTTTGAATTCCTCCCAAGATTCCTGAATCCAAGCTGATTTCCTGACATGGCAGATTTCAAGACTGTGCTAGCACACAACTAAAAATAATGAACTCAGTAGACTGTGGTGGTTAATCTTGGACAGCTCTAACCTTGAAACACCTGCAAGCTGATAAACAGAAAGCTGATTTCTTTTGTAAAAATGAAGATGGCATAAGTAATTTGAGGAGTCAGGATTTGAAGGTCAAGGACACTTCCTGCTCATTCTTATAGCCAGGGTCTTGTTGCTCTATTGAGCACTTGCCTTCAAATCTTTCATGACAACTGCCCATTGCTGTGTCCTGGCATTTTAATAATGAGCCTCGAGTGGCAGGCACCTGCCGTTATCTTTTCTCTCTATCAATAAATGAAAACCAGGGCTTTTCCTGTCCTTCAGTGTCACAGTCAATAACTAATTAGGTATCTGCATGTGTAGCAGCATCTGAATCCTTAAGAGCAGATTATGGAGAGCTATATGCTATTTGCATGTCCAATTCTAACCTTAATAAAAACTTTTGTAGCATATAATTAATACCTGCAACTGAAAAATAGTATTGTATATAGGACAAGCTCTATTCTTCTTGGTGCACTTTATCAACAGTGTCAACTGTTTGCAGAATCCAGTGAAAAAAACTGGTAGCTGCTCTCTTAGTATGTTATCATTTGGAAACGTGACCGAATGGAGCTTAAATTATATTTATGATTTTCAGATAACATACATGGAGAAAGGAGATGATAGAATATCTTTTTTTAGAAGTGCGTACAAAATAATCCTCCCATAAATATTCTCAAATAAATCATGTTTGGTAAAATATTGATTGAAGTGAATCTTTTCTTATTAATTAATTAAAACTTAATATTCAACTCCTGTTAACTTGATCAACTTTATCTTCAAAGCAGTATGACTTGCTTTGTTCTCTGTTCCATTGACCTCTCTTTCTATTTCCTACCCATTGTTAGAGAAATAGGATTCTATGGCCTGTGAGGGAAGTCAGCCTAGAAGCTGAAAGTGAAAAAAGAAACCATTATAAAGAGAAAGAAAAGGGGGTTTTGTCTGAAGCTTAAGGAGGATTCACAGGAACTCACTGGCAGTCTAAAATGGTCAGAAGGAATGTATAGAAGATGGAAGCAAGAGAAGATACTAGAGGATTATTAGAAAAGAATAACATTCTCCTATAAAAAGAGAATTTAAGGCTGGTAAGGAACATTTTTTAAAAGCAATTTGGAGCAGAAAGAACAAAGCATAATGATTATACTGGATGGCATGATGATAATGGACAATTGTGGAAAGGGTGGACTGCATTTGCAGTAGGAGGACCTTGATCCATCACTTCCCTGCATTCCCCTGGGATTTGAGTTCAGATCCCACTTCTAATGCTTACTGCCCGTATAACTTAAGGCAAGTCACATAACGCCTTTGGACTAGATGGCGTCTGAGATCCTTTCTAGCTGTAAATGAATGACCCTATTATCTGTTTAACTGTTATTTTGCTTCTGTTTTTCTTGCCAAATAGAATGATTCTTAGTTTGGAAAAGATAGAACAAAATAGTTGCTAGGGAGTTAAAAGCCAAGATAAAAAAGATGATGAAAGAGTACCCAATGGGAGTTAGTTACATGAAAATAACCTTTTCTGACTTTGGTTTAGAAATTTCTGCCACCTTATCAGAGCTGATGAGGAACTAATGAGGAGCTGTTGCCCTTCTGTAACACATTTGTGATAATGTTCTTTCACTCCCTTGGTACCTGACAATGGCCATTTAATAACTCACATAATTAAAAAACAATCAGAATTAATGAGGTTCTAAGATGCACTGCTGAATGATGAAGGATGCCAAGAACTCTCTTATTTAGGCAACATGAGGAATGGTTGATGATTTTGAGCTGCCACTGTACATGCAGTTCACTGTGCCATGCAAAGAGTGATGTACTTAGAGTCACAATACCTGGGTTCAAATCCTAGCTAAGGCATTTTCTACACATATTACCTTGGGCAAGTGACTTCATCTTTCTGATTTCGAAGATCCTTTCCTAGTTCTTTATCTTAATATATAATTTTGTCTTGGTAGGCTCCAAGGAACTCTAAAAGATGACAGTCTCAGCCCTTGACATGTTTGGGATAGAATACTTTGGAGGGATGGTCCTAAGTAAATAAATGATAAATTATTCATCTGAGTTGCTAAAGGGACAGTTGCTTTTGTGGGGGTGATGCAGGAGTATATGAGACATAGCTGCAATTAGAATTTTCCATTGGGTCATTTAAAAAAATTATCATGACTAAAGCTGTGTTTTCTTAAAAAACAAGTAATGCATTTTATACTTCTTGCTGCTGTTACAGCTTTGCTCATGGGCTAGTTGGGGAATTGGGGCTTGAAAGAAACAACCATCCAGCTTGTTCATATTTATTCTTCAGACAAGTGACCCACAGGGAAGGATAAGCATACATTCTTATAGTACGTCTGTTCAATACTCTCAACTTGGCTCTCAGACTGGGAAGAGATAGTGTGATTGGATTGCTTCTCTACTTTGGACTGTCCTTCTCCAGGAAAACAGATGGATGCTTAGGTGGTGGAGTTTGGAGACAGTTCACTGGCCAATTATCTGTCACTGTGAAATCAGAAGTTACAGCCCAAGGAGATTGGAACCCAAGAGATATAAGTTGATAGGAGGAAGAGAGCATGAAAAGCGTGGAGCATGGGATACTGAAAGGGAGGTTGAGGAAACCACTGAGGTATTGTGGGAGCAGTGGATACTGGAGTAGTGAATCATGAGGTTGAGGAGACACTAAACATGAGTAGGAGAACTCTTATTTTGTCTAGTGTTAGTCCTATCAGCTTCTTTTTCTTCCCAATTTGAGCTAGTAAGTACTATGGAGATGGTTAAGCCATTAGTGTTAAGACACATGGGGAAGAGTAGGGAGTAGATGTGGGAAAATAATATTTAACTTTTGAAACATGTATTTTAATGTTAGCAGTTAGCTACTGAGAAATTTTTTTCTTTTTTGAGATCTCTTGGAATTTAGGTCAAATTCATTCAATGTGAGTTGTGCTCTTCTATAAAATAATATCAATATTCTTGTAACATGTTTTCAAACGCTAATAGTACATTTGATATTTGGGATATTTTGATGCATACTGTTGGCTCTGTATTATAGCATTATCTTAACAGAGCAGTACCCTGTAGAGCCTAGTCTTAGGATACAACATGGGGAATTAAAGTTTTGGATTCCTCTGCCTAAGGATGTATTTCCCAGCTTTGTGGCCCTATATCTACGAGGAAGAGACAACAAATCTGAGATCCTGTGAAAGTCTTCCCCTTTTATATAGGTTGTAAATTAAAAAAGTTATCATTTTGTCCCTGAGAAACAGCCTTTTGTGAATTTGAGTATTCTAAGCATGGTTTGCAATATAAGCACATTTATAACAAAAGATCCTCAGACTTTTCCTCATTTAACAGAGCAACTGAATTACATCCTTAAAATATATCATGGGAAGTTGTGGTCTCTTGTAAGTTTTTGTGTCCCATGATGAAAGAGATCAAGACATTTTTCATGATATAATGGGGAATGCGGCACTTTAGAGCTGAAGAATTCAATTTAATAAGTGTTTATTAATTACCTGCTTTATGCCAGACACTAGACTTACAGAGAGAAGAGAAGAGATTTTTCAGAATTGGTCAATTTTGGGATCAAGGGATAAAATGAACTGCATTGTCCTGCCAGAGACATATGTCCTGCCATAGACATATAAGAATCTCCACATGAAGGAATTAGGATGTTGTGTTAGAAATAGCATTGGATTTAGACTCAGAGGATCTGGGTTCAGGTTTCTGCTCTGCTGCTAATTAGCTGTGTGATCTTATACAAACAAATTCAATTTATTAAACATTTTGCACTTAGCTATATGTGTGCCCCTATATTAGACCCTGGGGATGCAAAAGTAAAGATGACATGGTTCCTGCCACACTTCACCTCTTGGAAACCTCAGATTCCTCCTTAGTAAAATGAATGGAGTACATAAAATAATCTGCAAGGGCCATTTTGACTCTACATTCTATTTGGGCGATTCAAATATCCAAGGCTAAAATAATGTATTATATTTACTGAGCTTTCACTGTATTTCTCATATTATTAAAACCCAACTTTTTTGGGGAACCTTATCCAAAAACCTGGAAAAATACCTTTTCAATTCTGTTTTCCTGAGATTTCTTAAAGTAGATGGTGGAAATTCCAAGTTCTGAGGCCGCTATCCATTGCAGCGTGGCACGAAGTTCTGCATCAGGGCACTCTGGCTCCAGATCAAAGTTTATCACCAATAGGTTCCTTTGGCAGCTGGCTGTTCCCACAGACAGTTTGGAAGTACACTCTGAGTATAGAGACAAGCAAAGATTTACCAGGCTTTCAGTGTCAAAAAAAAGCCAATTTTGTGTCAAATTATGGCACCTTGTCTTACCCTCCATGTTTTCTGATGGTTCTTTAAGGCATTCCTTTTCTTCAACAAGTTCACTTTAGGGAGAAAAACAACAACAGTAACATGCAGTTGGTAACACATAAGAATGAGATAGTCAATGGAAGATGAGATGATGGGTTTCTTTTCTCCTTTTTTTTTTTTTGTTGAGGTTCCTTCCATCTCTAAATTCTGAATTCTGTGAGAGGCAGAATGATATAATGGAAAGAGACCAGGCCTTGGAAGCTGGCTCTGACACTTACTAGCTTTGGCATCACAGCTTTCTCACTTCTCCCCTTTCTGTCTCAGCTGTAAAATGGTGATGATGAAACTCACCCTATTGACTTCCCAGGGTTGCCTTGAGGAAAGTGTATTGCAAAACTTAAGCAACTATAGAACTATGAATTAGTATTATTATCACATAACAGTAATCACTGGGAAGATCGAGAAGGAGCCTTGAATCCATTTGGTCAAAGAAAGCTGGCCTAGATAGCAAGGATAACTACTGGACTATTAGCAAACTTTACACCATATGGGGAAAAATAAAGTGAAAAAAACCCCATGACTTTAGGGTAGGGTATTGCAAGATATGCTCTGTTCTATTTTTTTTTCCCTGTCTACTCTATACAGATGCTCTTCAGAAGAGAATATTTTTTATTTATATTTTTGTAGATATTTTTCCTGTTTCTGTGACTGAGCTTTTTTGTTTGGGTATCTCATTTTCACTGACAAACACCCAAAGGTATGTACATTGCCTTGCAATAATCTGTTTCTTCCATTACATGGAAGGAAGAGAAAAGTCCCTGTAATTTGGAAAATACTTCTTTCTTCCTTCTACACTGATTTTATCTAAAATAAAAGTCAGGGAATAATAAAAGGGGAAAGGCTGTCAAAGGACTACAGAGTCTAAATTGTAAAACTCAGTGGCATTTATCAGGTCAAAATTCTGTTGCCTATTACAGTGTCTGGCAAGGGGTTTTAAAATGCTTATTGATTGACTAATGTCAATATGGTTCAGCACAAGGTTTAAGTGAATGATATTTTCATGGTGTATAGGCTATGTTTATCCTTTACCTTTTTGGCTAGAACCTGGGAAGGCCATTTTCATGGGAAAATGTAATTCCTATTGATTAAAAAATATTTCCATATCTTCTCTGTGACTTTGGTTGATATGGCTTTGGTTAATAAGATCCATTTCCATTCTTCGGTAAGGTCAAGGGGATAAAAGTGAAGGAACCTGAAAGTGACAGGTATCTTGTACTTTGATTAATGCCTAATTGTTTGAAGAAGAATGGTGCTTCCTAACATCAATAATATTACATGGGAAAAGAATATAGTGCAATTTTTGTTGTTGTGGAGGCAGGAGATTCTAGATCCATGGTGATCTCTGCATTTCCAGGATACGAAATAGGTTTCTGGGCCCATTGACCTGAGCAAAAAGGAGAAAATGTAGGTAAAGGAATGTTTGCTCAGGAAAGAGTTAAACTGAGGTCAAAGGAATTTTCCCAAGCTCTACTTCCTGATGAAAGATGAAACTTATAATCTGGTGTCTATCTGCATTCTATTTAATGTCTGGGAGGAAGCAGGGAGAGGAAGTTTAAGTGACGGATTTGAATTGCTAAAAATTTAAGATTGATCTTCTGAGTAAAACTATAAGCCAGAGACCTGATCAACTGACTCTTTAAAAACATTTTAGCTTCAAATGGGGACTGAGAAAATAAGTCATAAAGCAATTGCTCTTACTCTACTCTTCATTCTTTCTGGAGATCTAGATGCCCATGAATAATAAGAGGACACATAGACACCTAACAATAGATGTCATTCATTTCAGCTGATGGGGGAACTGAATGCAGGTTTGGGGAGTCATCCTGACCCATGTTACCCTGGCATTTCTTGGTATTTTACCCAGATTTCTTGCATCATGTTTCTAAATGTTCCTTTATTCTGCTGCATCATGCTGCATGTAAATTCAGGTATCCTCATGTTTTGAGGTAACAGAATCATTGGGCAGGTACTCACGCATCTCCTTTCATGGCAACAGACTGGTATTGGGAAGCAAGCTTGGTAGAGTATGCCTGAAGCAAGTAAAGGGAAAGCCAGACTCTGGTGAAGAAGACAACGATTTGGCTTGGTCCAATTTCAATGGACTTTTGCTTCTGTGTGTGACACTAGAGAGAATAAAGAGGAACCTCTGACTGTACTGATTACCTTCGTCCAAAACATTGATATTTTAAGCTGGGGATGTGAAAGCCCTTTTAAGCTATGTTGCCAGGAAGCCGGTAGTGATGAAGGAGGACCTAATTCTAACCTTATACTTTACTACTTACATGGGAAGCTTTAAACGCATTTTCCCATTAACAAACAATGTGATTAGAACAGCAGTGTGGACATGGTTTAATCCATAGTTGAGTGCATTCTTGAATGATACAAATGGATTTTCAGATGAAATTAAAGTAGAGTTTCTCAGTATCAGTTCAGTTTTGAAGTTACTTACTTAATCATGGGAGAAGAGGGCATGTTTTCCTGATAAATTTCCAGATCCATAATGCCAAGACTGCTAGTGGTACTACTGTTGCCATTGCTGACAAAGCAAAAATTTAAATATTAATGCCAGTCTCCACCATTTGGCTACATTGCCAACATTTTCATTCGGTACTCTCTGAGGACACTTCCCTGGAGGGGGGGGGATTACTGCTCCGACCTTTGCTTCCCTCAGTTATGTGTGTCCACAATGAAGAAAATAATCAAGCATGTAAGCCTACAGCTCCAAGTACAGGGAAATAAATAAATATAGGTATTAAGGGTATTTTTTTTCCTCCTTGTGTTAGAAGCTCTTGTCAACAAGCAGCTAGAGATGTCTTGGGTACGCTTGCAGAGATTCAGATACCTCTGAACATGATGCATGAGGGAAATGTTTGAACACTTGTAGTGGCTGTGACCTTCAGTGACCTTCTGGGGACATAGGAAATTGATCTGAGTTCCCACAGAAAGTAGTGCATCAAATATTCACCGTTGGCTATTTGGTGGGGATTTTCCCACGTGGTGTTAGAAAGGACGTGCACCTGGTCCTTTGTTTTTATAATAAGTCACAACACCGAAGGAGAAACTGGTACTATGAAGGTGGCACAGCTCCTTTATCATAAGCATCTTAAAAAACACCTGTCACCTTGTATGCCTTGGAGAAGAAGGTAGTAGATACTGCATAATCCTTAGAGGTTACACAATCACCATATGGTATATCTATAAGCCCAGCATATACTTATTGAAAAACATATATTTGAGCCAGACTTTTAAAGCTCTGTCTGTACTTGTGAAATGGAAGCAATCCAGTTTCTTTAAACCCACTGAGCTTTCTCACACCTTCTGTATTTTCGAAGGATACCTCTTGCAAGTATGATTTTCAAAGGGCAATTGCCAAGTGTGATATATTGATGGGCACTAAGGTACAAATTATGGAAATTGTTCCTCTTTGGGGTTATAGTGCTACCTAGGTACTAACTTCTTGGATTGGGAGAAATCCAGGATGGAAACACAAAGCAAAATCTGTTCATTAAGACAACTGCCATATCCTTTCTACCAAGCCCATTGCCTCAGCTGCTCAGCCATTCTTGTCACCTCATGCTTACAACCATTTTCTTTTAAGATTTTGAAGTTTAAGCACAATGTATATAACATTTGGGAAGTTTGTCATTCTGTATGTGAACAAACCAAGTGACCTAGATTAGATGTCTTTGAGTTGAAATTTCCAGTTAGTCTTCTAGGAAAGCCTGTGCTTTGTCTGTAGGGTAGCCAAGAAATCTGGAGGCAGATTGTGGAGTTGTGGGTGACAGCATTTCAATTAGAAAACTTGTTCATTTTCTTTTTTCTACCTGGCAGAGGAATGTTTTGTATAGTAAAGCCCTGGATAGTCCAAGAGTCTATTTCCTTCAAAACTTCATCTTTAACACCTTCTCTAGGTTTTTTTTTTTGTCCCAATGATACTCAAAGGAAGAGTGGGGGAAACTAGGTCAAACAATATATAGTACAGTCAGGAAGCATTCGCTTCATGTAAACCCAGCCTATGTTCCCCCTGAAATGTAATGGATTAAGGGAGAAAGTATTAAAATCAGAAATTCTCTCTCTCTCTCCCTCTCTCTCTCTCTCTCTCTCTCTCTCTCTCTCTCTCTCTCTCTCTCTCTCCTCTCTCTCTCTCTCTTTCTCTCCCTCTCTCCCTCTCTCTCTCTCTCTCCTCTCTCCTCTCTCCCTCTCTCTCTCTCTCTCTCCCTCTCTCCCTCTCCCTCCCTCCATATGTGTGACTGCATATATAGTGTGTGTATATGTGTGTGTGTGTACATATATACATACAATATATATATATATATATATACATATATATATATATATATATATATATATATATGTATACGGAGAATTATAGCTAGTTAGCTATATACCAAACACTGTGAATTGTGCCCTGATGAATGTTGTTGTTGTTATTGTTGTTGAGTTGTTTCAGTCATGTCTGACTCTTTGTGACCCCATTTTTTTTGGCAAAGATACAGGAGTGGTTTGCCTTTTCCTTCTGCAGCTTATTTTACAGGTGAGGAAACTGAGGCAAACAGGGTTAAGTGACTTGCCCAGGGTCACACAGCTAGCATGTCTGAGGCCAGATTTGAATTCAGGAAGATGAGTCTTCCTGAGAGTCTTCCTGACTCCAGGCCAAGAGCTTTATCTACTGCACCACCTAGCCTGATAAATGATCAGGACATAATTCACAGGGTTTGGCATCCAGCAAACTAGATATAACACTGCATCAGGGAACAAAGGCAGCCCTTGGACTTAGCTTAGGCTATGAGGTCATGGCAAGATGTTAAGGTATCTTAGAAGATATCATCGCAAAGGCTAAAGTCTTCTTCATTGTATAGAGACTGGAGGAAACTTATTTTTGGTGTTTCTATTAGATGCTCATCAGGTGTTCTTGTATGTACACACACACAAACACACACACATTTATAAAGGATACATCCTGATTGTGGAATTTGCCCTAAGTCCATGTTCCCAAAAGACCTAAAATAAAAAGCAGCTACCTCATGGATCTCTCACTGAGCTGCAGATAGCTACTTGTGTCATCAGGATTGTCCTCATCGTTGACCAGCTGTGACCAGCTGCCTGTGCTCTCATCACTGCTGCTGTTGCCTTGAGGGTTCAGGGACTCCTCTGGGGCTCGGACTTCCACAGACATTCCAGGGTCAGGAGCATTTTCGGCACTAAGGTCAACACTGTGAAACACAAGATGTTACCGAGACAGCCGACACCAAGTTGAAGTTTCCCTTAAGCCCAAGGGTACTGTTTGGGTCAACACGTTATAAATTTGTGCTACTTTATGTAATTGGGAGAAACAGAGCATTTCTTATTAATTTTAAAGTTCAAACTCAGCATTTAAAATTGGACACCCTGGCTAAAAGATGAATTTGTCAGTCTGTTTGGATGTATTTCAAATTTTGTGTCTAAATAATTAAAGAGTAATAAGACATCACAGAACAAAAGTTTTTCTCACTTCTTTGTGGAAAAAATGACATCTGAAGTATTGACAATATTTTAATGGACCTGTTAGCGCAACGTGAAATTTTCCAACAGTGGACAGAATACTAGATGTGGAATGAGAAAGACTTGAGTTCAAATCCATCCTCAGTCTGTGTGACCTGGGGCAAGACATTTAACCTCTGTCTGCCTCAGTTCCTCATCTGTAAAATGGGGATAATAATAGCACTTATCTCTTGGAGATGTTGTGAGGATAAAGTGAGATAATATTTGTTAAACACTTTGCAAACCTTGAAGTGCTATGTAAATGATAGTTATTATTATTCTCTCCATTGATGCAGATAACAAATTATCAGCATATTTTCATCATGTTTTATCCTTTTTCATATTTTTCCATGGATTCCTGCAGTGAGACTCTGCCCCTTTCAGTCTGTAATACATATTTTATCACCTCAGTGCTTTATAATGTTTTCCTATGTATTAACGTCTCGTCTTTCCAACTAGATAACGAGCAACTTGAGGAAAGGGAGCCTGTCTTATATTGTATCTGTATTATACCTAGTGCCGGGCAAAGATGTTCCATGAACATTCCATGACTATTGATTCATAGCAATACAAGTAGAAATACGTAGAAATACAAATGTATTTCTAGAGAGTTCATAAATTATGATGAGAAAAGAACTGGCACTAGGATTTATCATTGATCTACTTTATCTAAACCTCTTCTTAATAAGAATTCATGGAAGACTTGCATGGGCTGATGCAAAATGAAATGTACTGTGTACGAAGCAACAATATTGTAAGATGATCAGCTGTGAATAACTTAGCTCTTCTTGACAGATCCAAGACAATTTTGAAGGACTTATGATGAAAAATGCTATCCATCCCCAGAGAAAGAACTGAGGGTGTCTGAATACAGATTGAAGCATGCTTTTTTTTTACTTTATTTTTCTTGAGTTTTTTTTCTCTATGTTTTCTTTCACAACATGGCTATTATGAATATGTTTTGCATAACTACACATGTATAACCTATATCAAATTGCTTGCCTTCTCAATGGGAGAGGATGAGGAGGGAGGAAGGGAGAGAATTTGGAACTTAGAGTTTTAAAAACGAATGTTAAAAATATTTTTACATGTAACTGGGGAAAAATAAAATACTAAATAAAAATTTTAAAAAAGAATTCATGGGCTAAATAAAGAATAAACAAATAAATCCTAAGCCTTATTAAAGGTGCTCCTTCAGGGGTTGTTTTGCAAAATGTAGTAGATATTTTAAACAAACATTTTAGTTTTGATATTTTAGTGCCTGGGGCAAGGAGCAAAAAAGATCTTCAAGATTTTGGGTATCCCTTTTGGGGAGAGGAAGGGCTCCTAGGCCATTGCTAGGTAGGCAGAAGGAAAGGAGCAGAGTAGGGCTGGACTGAGGAGGAGTTTTTCTGGGCTATACTATCTGTAGTTTCGTATTTTAATTTATTGTTCTTGCTGTCTTAGGTGCCAAGTTCAGTTCTGTCAAGTACGTTTTAAATTTTCATTCTCTGGGGCAAAGCCCCTATCACCCTATCCTGTTTGGAACTTTGTTCCAAATCTGTGGTGAATGATGGGTCCTCAGCAACCTGCTGTTATTCCAGAGAGTGAACTATATTGTAGTATGTTCTGACTTCATTCTGCAATTACCCTTCTCCTTTCCCTTTCAGGTTCCCTGGCCTCATTCAAGCCTCATCTCAAATCCCACCTTTTTCAAGAGGCCTGTCCTGGTCACTCCAGATACTAGTCCCTTTCCCTCTGAGATAATTTTTCCATTTACTCTGTATGTATCTTGTTCGCACCTAGTTATTGACATATTGTATTCCCTAGGAGAGGGTAAATTTCACAATATACTTGTCCACACAGAGAAAGAAAAAAATGTCTCCCTTTTATGAAAAACTCTGAAATGGCAGGCTTAGCTAAGTGCCAGTCTTACCTGTCTTCCTCTCTGATTTGAGTGAAATTTATTGTATACTCAGTTGTATTTTGTAGTGAACTTCAATTTTTACATGCAAAATTTTGCCCTAATAACTTTGTGTGCAGGATATGGCTGATCCCTTGCCCTTGCAAATCCTGGGAATTTTCCACTCTAGAAAAACTACTACTTAATTCACTGCAGATTCCTCAGAGGAAGATACTAGTAAAAAGAAAATTCTGGGTTAAAAACCTTCTGGCCTATCCTGAACAATGCTGCTCACTTAGCACTTTTTGAATTTCTAAAGTTCTGTCTCAGTGAGAAGGAAAAACCACATTAAAGCAAATAGTGTGGACAGCAAGCTCCAGGTGAAAGACATGAAAGAGAAGAGGAGAAGATGAACAGCTTAGCTTCTGGTTGGTTTCTTTTACTCCTAATGAGTAAATGGGATTTGGATTATTTGCATGGATTTGTCTTTCTTTCCCTCCTATTAATACTCTCTAACTCTGTAACAGGAGTTTTCAATCTTGTCATTGATCTCTTTGGAAGTGTGTTAAAACCTATGGACCCCTTCTCAGATTGATGGTTTGTTTTAAATTCATAAGTGAAAGAAATGTTAAATTTTTCCCCCCATCTAAGTTCATGGACACCTTGAATTCTCTCTGTGGAGGAATCCATGGATCTCAGGTCAAGAATCTCTACTTTATTATCTCACTGTCTATCTGCTACCTCATTTGATGATCTTGTCTGCTCCCATGGGTTCAGTGATTTTCTTTTCAGATGATTTGCCAGATCTACATAGCCAGCCCTAGCCTTTCTCCTGAGTTCCAGTGCTGCGTTCCCTACTGCATTTTGCTCATCTCCAAATGGATGTTCTGTAGGGATCCCAAACTCAACATGTACAAAACAGAACTTACTGTCTTTCTTCTTAAACCTTCCACTCTTCCAAATTTCCCTATTACAACTGAGAAGACCACAATTCTCCCAGTCACCCAGGCTCAGTGTTGTTCCTAGCTCTTCACTCTCATTCCACATATTCGGGCCATTGTCAAAACTTTTCATTTCTTCCTTCTTTACAACATTTCCTGTATAGGTCTTTCCCTTTCCACTCACATAGTCACCAGACTGGTTCAGGCTCTTTTCACCTCTTGCCTAGACTATTGCAAAAGTCTTTTAATTGGTCCTCCTTACTCAAGTATCTCCCACTTAAGTCTGTTTTTTTTAATTAGTTGCCAAAGTTATTTTCCCAAAACATAGGACTAACCAATTCCCTACCTCCCCCAATGAATTAAACTCTAGTGACTTCCCATAAAGGCTAGGATAAAATGTAAAGTTTTCTGGTTGTCATTTAAAGTTCTTTACAACCTGACCCCTTCCTATCATTTTGAGCTTTTTATACTTTACTCCATTCTTCACCCTCTACAGTCTAGCTGTGCCAGCTTAATTACAATTCCTTGAACATGGCACTCTATTCATCAACACTATGCCTTTGCAATGGCTATCTCCCATCCCTGGAATGCTCTGCCCCTTCGCCTTTACCTCTTAGGCTCCCTGACCTCATGCAAACCTCATCTCAAATACCACCTTCTTCAGGAGGCCTGTCCTGCTCACTCCAGATGCAAGTTCCTTCCCTTCTGAGATAATTTTCCATTTCCTCTGTAGACATCTTGTTTGTACCTAGTTATTTACATATTGCATCCTCTAGGAGAAGGTGATTTCCTTGTGGGCATAGGTTGTTTTTGCCTTCTTTGTGTCCTCTGCAGTAGTCACAATGCCTGGCATGTAGTAACACTTATTAAATGCTTATTGACTGACTGACTATTAAGTACATCTAAAAATTCAATTCAATTAATTTCATTCCAACCTAACATGATCTAACTCAACTAAGTTCAATACATTCTAAAATTTTCTTGTTGTTGCAATTTCCATGTTGCTTCTAATCTATGATTTCTGACTTGGTCATATATACCTATGGGTTTTAAATTGATGTGAATGTTTTTATACAATTATTTAGATAATATACCTTGATTATCAGCTTAAATAATTTTTTATAAAGGTAAAGTTTTCCGTACATAGAATTGTGCAGCTGAAAACATTATGGAAAAATTCTCTAGTCTCCTGTCTTTCCTTTAACTCAGCATTTTAATTTAATACAACCTCTATTTCTGGAGAAAAAAAGTATCAATGAACTCCTTTATTTGTACCAGGTATTCCAAGATGTTCCTTGTATCACAAAACCTCTTTTTAACACCAATATTCTTCCTGGTGATGCTATAAAATCAAAATTATGAGTAGTTCAGAGGAAGTGGATAGCCTCAGGATGGGCGTACATAGGTTAGTGTGTGATGGTGACTTTCATGAATGAGGTGGTGTAAGGGATATTATTCAAGAAATATATGATCAGAAAAGGAGATGGGCTGGTCACGTGACAACAATGAAGGAAAACAGGAGCCTGAGTGTTGTACGGATACATGTAAAATGTTAAATGCTCTTGGCTCTAGGGCCTAGAGGAAGTCCTTTAGCATCTTTAGTAGATATTCTAAGATATATTTATACAACAAGGATTATTGACCAGAGTCACAGAGAATGAATAGGCATGGATAGGTTGTAACATGCATTGAGTACCAATATTGATAAGACCATTGATTCATGGAAAAACTGGAGTACTTATGCCTGAACCCCATTTCTTTCTGGAATCTCACTATCACTGTTGGATTTCATAGGTATTAAAATTTGTTTAGTGTAGTGGATAGGGCTCTGGACTTGGAGTCTAGAACATCTACCTGGGTTAAAATCCTGCTTCAGACAAGTCCTAGCTATATTACTCTGGGCAAATGACTTATCCTCTCTGTACCTTAGTTTCCTCATTTGTATAATAAGGGATATCTGACTTGATGGCTTCTAAGCCAAACCTATGATCTTATGGTCTACTCCAGCCTGTTCAGTTTAAGTATAAAGAAACTTAGACCCATAGTTGAAGGTCACAGAGGTAGCAATTAGCAAAGCCAACATTTGAACCCTGGTCCTTTGAGTTCTGAGAAAATTCACTTTCCAAAACACTACACTCCATCACACTGTTGCCTATACATTGCCATCTTAATGCTCCTATAACATGGTTTCTGGTCCCACTAGCCTACTGAAATTGATCTATGGAAGGTCGCCACTGACCCCCATCTTGCCAAATCCAGTGTTCTTTTTTCTGTCTTCATCCTTTCCTATTTCTGCAGCATTTTGAGAAAGTTTACCAGCCTTTTAAAATTAAACAAAACAAAACTGCCCCATTCTTACCTTGCATGCCATTTCATTTTCTAGCTTTATTAAAATTCTAGCAGTTATTTTTCTTATTTCCTAGCTTCTATCTCTCTCTCCTCTCCTCTTTGGGTATTCCTAGAACCCTGCCCTCAGTCTTCTCTTTTCTTTATACCTCTCTCCACCATTGCAGCACTATGTAAAGTCCTATAGGGCAGAGACAGTTTCTTTTTTATCTTTTCATTCCTAGCACCTAGTATAGTGTCTCTCACACCCAGCAGGTATTTAATAATGATCAATGACTTGAATATTTACATAGTATTTCAGAATCAGAGAATGTAAGAGCTAGAAGGGAGAAAGTATTTTAAGACAATCATTTTCCTGATAAAGAAACTGGAGGTCAGAGTGGTTTGCCCAGGGCTGCACTTTTATTAATGACCCTGGGATTTTTGATTGCAGGTTCAGTATTCTTTCTGTTGCCCTATGCTGCTGCTGTCACTGAAGGTCTCATCCATTGTCATGGTTTCATTTATAACCTCCCTGTGGACAACTTTCAAAACAGTCTTCATTTTTCACTTGATCTCTGACCCCAGGTCTCTGTCTGTTTGGATATCACTCTATCATTTCAATATTCACAAGTCTAAACTTAAGCTCTTATATCCCTCTGATCCCAACCTCATCCCAAACTTAGTCTTCTTTCCAAATACTCTGTTTCTGTGTTGCTAGTCTTTCTTTCTCTCAGGCTAGTAATTAGGATTTTCTTTGACTCTTCCTTATTCCTTTATTTCCTTCAAAATGTCTCATGAATTTCCCCCTTATTTTTTTTTATTCCTGTTGATAACACACTAGACACATTTACCTACATTGCTGCAGTTCTGCCCTCTTTTGATAATAGACAATAGCTATTCCTCATCCTGTGAAAGAAGTCATGCTTTCATAAGTTGGAAACCATGTCCATCACTCAAAAATTTTCTAAGTCTTTTAATAAGTCATACTTCCAACCCTTAAGTCACAGACATAGCAAAGCATAGTTCTGTTTCAGATGAACCATGTACTTATGCCTTTCCCAAACTGAGAAGTGGCATGGGATAGCAGTTAATATTGGAACCCAGGAAGCCTTGGGTTCAAAGTCTACCTCTGACACTTACTAGCTCTGTATCCTTAGGTATCCCAGTTTATTCATGTGAAAAAGGGATACAATAGTTCCTATATGAAACAAAAAGAAACTAAATCTGGGAAAAAGGTGGCTGTAAGAAGATGAGAACAGTTAGAAAAATAGAAAACATTCCCCTTCCTCTCTCCCTCCCTCTCCCTGCCATTTCTGTACTTCTTCTTTGCAGAATTGGTGTTCATTGCTATTAAGTGTTTGATTGCTTTCCTCTAGTGGCAGGTGTGAGAAGTGCTCATGGATGAATATTTTCAAGAATGGTAAAATTTGATTCAAGATATTTTCAACCTGTCTATTGGGACTTATGATTTTAAAGTCACGTCTGTGCTAAAAAAGTATTCTCTTATTTTTAAGCAGTGAATATCCATAACTGTAACAAGTTTAAATTAGACTGCTAATGTTCTCTTAGGCTATATTAATAGAAGTAAGTCCTAGCATTCTGTTTATCAAACCTCATCTACATTATTACATTCCGTTCTGGGTATGGGATTTTAGTGGAATGCTGACAAACTGGAATACATTCAGACGAGGGTGATTGGGATGGTGAAAGTACCTGAAACCAGGTTACATGAAGAACAGAGCAACTATGGATCTTTACTCTCAGAGACTTAGGGAGCTATTCTCAGCATTTAAGCATTTGAAGGACATCCATGTTAGACTTTGTTTGATCCAGAGGGCAAAAATAGCTCCAATAGATGGAAGTTACAAAGAGTCAGATTTTGATTCTGAGTAAGGAAAATGTCTGTGTCCAGAGCTACCACATGAAATAGTGAGTTTGTTGTTCTTGGAAGTACTCAGGTAGGCTGAGTGACTACTTGTTAGAAATGATATAGAAGGGTAAAATTTTGTCTTAAGTAAGATTTTGGATTAGATGACTTTTGAGTTATTTGATTCTGAAGTATTATGAATTAGAAGAACTCTATGATTTTGAATCTGAAGTCATCTTTCCAATTCCTAAGTACTTTTAAAAGGACATTTGTCATTTCTTGCTTTCAAAGACTTCAATTATAGGAGAGAGAAAGGAATATTGAAATGAGTTTGTATTTAATACTCTTGTGGATATGTAGTAAATCTAAAAAGAAAGTTACCATAGGGATTGACAATAAACCCACATAGGCCTCAGTTGTTTGATCTATGAGATGGGGATAAGAAGGCATTACCTGCCTAACGGCAAGGAATCTAGACCAGATAATTCCTTGAATCCTCTCTCATCCATAACATCTATGGTGAAATGCTATTTATTGTAAAGCCCAGTCTATGCACATGGTATAGTACACATAGTATTCTTCACCCACCTGTTGTTTGTGATGGAGCTTGCAGCTGTGTTTCTGCCACTGTCCATTTCAGGGTCCTTTTCTTTGTTGACGTCATTTTCTTTTACTTCTCCAGTGCAGATATTTTCGGAAAGAACAGCTTCTGATTCTTCAATGAGGTCATCCCTTTGATCAGTTTCAATCTGAATCAAAGGTACTTCCCTTGAGCAAGAGGATGGACCTATGTGACTCCCTAGACCAGTGTCATGGCTGGAGAAATGCCCTTTTTTAAAATCTACTTGTGTTTGTTCCATGGGAGTTGCTGCTTGGTCTGGAGCTGCAGTGGAAAGATGTCTATTTTCTGTTACTGAGTCTTTATTTGTGTAAGCAAAGGAATCCTGATGAACCACCAGCAGAATGTTTCCGTTCTCCTCAGTGCTTGCACCTGATTTGTTAGCATACTGTTTTACATGACAGGGAGAACCTCTTGAAACAGGATCGGCATCTGTTGCTTCTGTCTCATCTGCTATTATTTTATTTTTTTGCATAAGGGCTTGAATTGAGTTTGTCCATGTCTCATGAATTAACATGCTTGTGATTTGATCCGTCCTTCCTCTCTGATATAAACAAGAGTCAGACTTGCAAAGGCCAGATGAAGACACATTGCTGACTGGCTGAACACTCAAGAAGTCTTGCTGGCCATTCTGAGCAAAGCCATCCAGAGAGTTTGCCTTGACTGGAGCATTCACTGTTAGCTTGGCACAAGAAGACCTACTTTCTGGCACAGAGAACTGTCTGTAACAAAACGGGGACTGGGGAGAAGGAGATAACAAACTGGTGTCCCAGTCTTGGCTGCTTCGGCTAGAGGATATGCTATCTTTGCTCTCTCTGTCAAGGTCCCTTAGCATGTACCTATAGAACTCCTCAGTTATACTTTCTGTGCTGGATTGCTTAGAGGGACAGCTGGGCTTCACACTGAGGTGTCCGTTCTTTCGAGACACCTGCTGCAGAGCAGAGGTTAGGATGGTATTTGCATTCCTGCCAGCATAGTAATCCAGCAGTAAATCAAATCCCCTCCCTTCATTTTCCATTTGATTTACCATGAACCTGGAGAACTCATCTGTAATGCTCTCACAGCTGGACTGTTTGGAGACAGAGCTGGCTCTGCTAACTGGCTGACTCAAGGTATTCATTAAACCCAAGCTGTTTACAAATCCTCGGGAATCTGAATCCTCTTCAGGGATGCTTTCACAGCTAGATGCTTTCACACGATTCAACCTTTCACCTAGTAGCCTGTTTCGAGGATGATTCTGAGCTTGCCAAATTCCATCCACCACAGAAAACTCTGTCAGGTTCATAATCTTGGCAGCTACTTCATTTGCAAAGATGTTGACTGAGTCTGGAACATCATCGAGATTTACAGACTCATCCACGACCCTGTTCATTAGCCTCTCTTTAAGTTCAGGGTGCTCATCAGTTTTTCTTTTTATCTCACTAAGTCGAGGGGGCTTGTGCTTCCTAACAATAGATCCATTGGCCTGGGTTTCCTTCTTTCTTTTCAGGGTTCGGTAGGACAAGCTTGGTGTCATCAAATATTCATTTCCCCTTTTCCAGGCGCAAAACCAGGGTTGCTTTCCATTTGAATTATCCAGGCAGATTGCAGCTATTTCTGTTGCCATAGAGACAACAGTTTCTGCTAATTCTTCAGCAAAGTCTATTACACAGTAGTTATCTGCTGAATGTTCAACTTGTAGCATAGGTTGAGATGAAAGCATCAAGTTGCTCCCCAATTGAGACGTGTTAACTTGAACCTCAGTGTTGAGAAGACTGTCATGCTTGCGTTTTTCTTGGGTGTCTGGGCTGATGATGGATTCAGAATACATCAGTTCTTGCATCCCACTGCCTGGTAATGGATCTGAAAAGGATCTGAGTCCATTCCTATTGTGACTGAGCCTCTGATTAGGAACTCTGGGGTAATCTCCAGTGGTTTGTTTTGGGTATCTTTTCTTAGGAGATGCTTTTGCAGCCAATGAATTATGAGCATTAGTATTAAAAGGCAGTTCTGATGGAAGCATGGGGCTTTCAAAAATGTTTGGCATTCCTCTGCTATTATTATCCCTTTTTGGATGTGTGACATCTACAAGATCTTTGACAGCACCAGCATTGTACCAATTATTAATTGTGCCACTGTTGGCATAGTCAGGAGCTCTTGGGGCTGTTTGACTAGCTGCTGTCTCTGTTAGCTGATGGTCTATTTCTGTTCCTCTCCATCTGTTCTCCTTAGAAAAGATGGGGGGATGCTCACTGAACTGTGTGATGTTGCTCATCTTTTTGAAAGTGAAATACATCGCATTGAAAAGCAGTTCATTTACAGTCTCCATGAGGATGTCCTGGGTATTCTTGTCTGGATCCCCAGTGGCCTCAGAATCGATCGTTTTCTTTTTCCGGTTAACTTCTTCAAGTGAATGCTTCAGGATAACATTGGATAAATCCTCTGCTAGCTCATCCCCAAGGATTTTGTCTAAGCAAGAGATCTGAGGCCTGGACACGGTTTCAATAATCTTTCTGTTCATCGATTCCATGAAGTTTCCAATGCTGCTGTAGTTATTAGGCTTAGTCAGAACCACAGATGCCTCTTTGAGAAGGGCCTCTGCAATGCTTCTGTTGAAGGTCTCCACGTTACTGCCCATGGCTATGCTACCATGGAGGGTAACTGCTGTAGAGGCCTCTGCTGCAGACAAGAGGCCACTTGATGCCACGGGGTACTTATCTTCTTGCATTTCCCCAAGACCACAGACAGCAACAGCACTAGCCACCTGAGTCATGCCACACAGTGCTGATGGAAATGAATATTCCATGCTTGTAGCATCTTGAAGTACTTGGGTAGCTGGTCTTTGAAGCTCCTCATTCCCTAACACTTGACCATTAGCTGCTGAGCTTTCTTGCTCTAATCTGAATCTTTCAGTGGCCTGAGGACTGGAAATAGTTCCAATAACAGTAGCAGCACAAGCTAACGCTACTTCTAGAGCACTCTGGGGAGGTCTGATGGACTTCTCTTCGTGAAGTTCACCTGAAATGTCAGCTGAAGGATCAGATTGTGTCCAGTGGCTGAAGCTTTGGGGGTTTGTCCCAGGCCATTCAGATATGGTTTCACCGCTGTCTGGACTCTGTACAATGACTATTTTGGGAAGTTCCTGCCATGACCTAGGGAGGTCTACGTCTTCTGCAGTGCAGCCTTCTGAAATCAAAGCTTTTTTAGTGGGGGCATTTGCCACAGATCTCATAGGACCTGTTGGCTGAGACTGGGACAGCCTAATAAATGCATCTTGTAGGACAGATTCTGCCAGATTTGTGGCATACTCGCCAGTTGTTGTGCCTTCGTCTCGCAGAGAAGGATGAGATTGTTCTTTATTCTTCAGACTCTCCTCAAGGTCTGGGTTTCCATTATGTTTCAAGGTGGTGTCACGTACAGATGTTAGTTGTTCCTTAACCATTCTGTCCAAATGTCTCTTGTCCAGAGTCTGCAAGGCATGAGAACTTTCCACTGGACCTTTACAGCTTTCTGCAAAATTGCTAGTGGGTGGTCCCTTTTCCCCAGATATGTCACCTTTCTGTCGCAGTTGCTGGGCCAATTGATCTGTACTGGGCAAAATAATTTCTGCTGCTTTCCTCAGTGTTCCTTCCAGATACCTTGAGGATTTATGTGAAGTGGCATTATCTTTGCAAATATAATTTTCTTCGAAAGCATAACGTAATTTGCCCTTTTTGCAATTCAGATCCCCTTGTGTAGCTTCCTTTGACTTCTTACTTTCTGAAACATTGACTGAGATATTTACATTTTCATAACCTAAAGAGAAGAAAATGGAGTCACCATTAGCTTTTGGATATCAAGTTGTCATTTTTTTTTCAAGGAGATGAACAAAAAAAAATGCCTATGAGGCAGTAGGCTGGATAATTTCCATTATAATAGCATTTTTGGTGTCCTTTGAGAGAAGAAAACACACTAGACTTAGAAATTTTCTATCTTTGATTCTGGAAAGCCAAGCAATAATATAGCTTTTATCAGAGGGTCCAACATATACTTAAACTGGACATTAGAAATTATTTGTGTGATAAACAACAAGCTTGATCCTTTAGAAGGCTGCCAGAGAGAGCATCATGGTCCTGTATTCCCCCCACCTCTGTCCACCCACCCCTGACTGCTGACAATGGCTACACATGTTAGTCTTGCTACAGAGAGTTTCTGACTCATTACAGATATTAGCTCTGAATCTTTCATGAAATAAACTTTAAGAATATTAGCAACAGCTTCTGGGGCTCCCCTCTATGAGTAGCAGGAGAGTGGTAGGATAAGGGGAGGTTCACTATCTGTGGTTACAGAAGCTATGGAGAAATCAGTAGTAGAGTATGCCTCCTTTCTCATCAGACCCTCAGAATCTTGGCAGTTACAAAATATTGCTTCATCTGTACCTTAAAGATAGGGCACTGGACTTGGAGTTAGGAAGTCCTTTGTTCAGATCTGGTCTCACTAATTGTGCGACCTCACACAAGTCATTTAGCCTCTGTGCTTTAGTTCCTTTATAAGTAAAGTGAGGGGGATGGAATTGATGGCTTCTACGATCCATTTCAGGGTAGCTAAGTGATGCAGTGGATAGATAACCGGACTTGGAGTCAGGAAGATCTGAGTTCAAATTTGACATTAGACACTTAGTAGCTGTGTGATCCTAGACAAGTCACTTAACCCCTATCTGCTTCAGTTCCTGCCAAGAAAACACCTTGGAGGTGCATGAGGTGCTGGAGAGTTGGACACAGCTAAATGATTGAACAACAACGATGATCCGTTTCAGCTCTAAATTTATATGATACTATAATAATACACAGAGTATTTTTAGACACAATTAAATGACTGAACAACAACGATCCTTTTCAGCTCTAAATCTATAAGATATTGTGATATACATAAAGTATTCTTGGTATAAGATAGCATCTCACCACCCACACCATTTTACAGTTGCTACTAAATTCATAAACAATACTAACTCATACTTCCCTTAACCTATGCCCTTTAACTCCAGTAAAAGATGATGGTGGGGGTATAACTCATTCTGCTATATTAATTTCATTGGCATTTTGATGTCAGTACTTCCTGTCATCAGCAACATCCTTTCTATGAACAGAAAATCAGTGACATGCTCAGAATCTCTGAGACTTAAGGTGGACTTTTTTTTTTCTTTCTAAGTTTGTAATTCCATCCTTATTGGAGTCCCTTGGAAACAGGTCAGACATCTTTGAATGATCCTTTTTATTAATCTGAAGTATGTTAGTTCAGTTGAGTGACTGTGGTACTGTTTGGTGACTTTTACCGTTTTTATATTCATCCACCTCGCTCTCATCCTCTAAATGCTCTGATGCTGTGAGGAAGTCCTCTTCTATTGAGGACACAGAGCAGTTGGTGTCATCTTCCAGCTTGAAGACATTGGTTTCCAGATGTAGTTGCCTCTCCTGCACCAGCTCAAGGCCGATCAGAAACTTGTTGATTTCAAAGATGATACAATTGGTACTGTTTTGTCTGTTCCCCCTCGCACACTGCACCAAGCATATGTCTGGCAGCCAAGGATGCTAGGAGAAAAAAAAGAGAAACTGTTAAAGAAAAATCAAAACCTCGCTTGATTTTTACCCTGTCCATTCACAGATCTCTGTGGCAGATCCTGGGATCAGAAATGGAACTTTGGTTTGGAAATGTGCAGTATCCTTTATGGTGGTACTCATGAGCTAATTGATGAAGAAGGAAGCTTGGGAAGATAAAGTGCCAAGGAGATAATTTAATATATGGGAAATAGCCAGTTGTATGTCAATGTGATTCCTCATTTAATTGGAATAAAGTTCCAGTTTGTTTCACTTTAGCATTTTATGTGTCTATTTTGGTGACACTAAGGAACATTGTTGATTTATTTGAAGTCAAACATTGTTCTTCTGCAAGTGATAATAGACTTCCATTTTCTCATGAGGAGGTTCTTATAGAAATCCCTTGGAAGTAGGTCATCCATCTCTGAAAGATCCTCATTATTTATCTGAAGTAGGTTAGTTCAATTGAGTAGAATATGGTACTAATGAGGCTGATGTCGTGAGTGTGATGCCTGGGTGGGTGTGTTGGATTTGTTCAATTCCATGAACAAAGATTGTGGCTGGTGACCTTTATTACTGTTCCTTTAAAGCTACACAAGGCCCAGAGTGTCTAATTATAGCCAGGTAATGAACATTTTTCATTTTCAAAGCACTTGGTAGGCAGAGATTACTTCCTTTACCGCCCATGTGCAGAAACAGAAATAGAGAGAAAGTGAAATGGCCGCAAAAATGTGGGTCCTGGATCACAGTTGTGTGCCTGAGGTCAAAGATGAGGTAATTCTCCATAATAATCTTCCTCCAACTTCTATCTTTATCCTTCAATGAATTTATGAGAATACTAATTTCTGCATATACATTCTGTTGCCATCTGAGATAAGATCAAGCTCTAGAATGGCTGAGCAATGAACCCTGCGATTAGTAGGAGGTCATGCAAAAGGAAAGAATTTCATTATCTTTCCCAGGAAGCATTAGGGCTTTGCTAACGAATACCCATTGGGTTTGGGCTTGGCAAGTGCCACCTTTTTCTTTCTCCCCTTTTTCTCTTCCCCAATTTATCTCTCATTTGTACCACTACATGATTAATGAGGATTCATTAAAACAAATTTGGCTTAGGATCTAACAAAGGGCAGAATTATCTCTTCTAACTCCAGATTGAGTGCTCTTCCCTCTGGGGAGTTTGGGTGTCTCTAAATGTATAAGGTGAACAATGAACTTTAAAGGGAGTGCAGATTTGGTTGAAGGATGATGTGAGGTGTACAAGATGATAAGAATCCTTCAGGAGTAGGAGAATGGAAAAGGGTGTATTAGCAGCTAGTTAATAAGGTATTATGGTAAACATGAAAAGTTGTGCCCAGAATTTTGAATGAGTTCTTGACCGATAATCTTTTACTAACTTTTTACATTTCAAACTCTCCTTGCCCAAGTGTGATTAGTTAAAGATAGGCACATACAGCTGTAGAATCAGGCCTAGTCAATGTCAGCATTAGTTTGCCAAGGGGTTCTTGGATGTCAGTTAGAATCTTTCAAATGAGTTTCTCTCAAAGATGAAAAAGAAAAGCATAAGGAGAAGGCATTTTGGTTCCAATCCATTAATGATCTAAGGGAGGAATAGGAGGTCTTCAAAGAAATCTCCTGTGCAGGTAAATACTTCTGGAAAATGAATTCCCACCCTATTGTATTGTTAGTCTGTAAACATGATGCCATGTAATCTGTGGATAATTAAAAAATAAAAAAAATCTTTTGAAGAAAGAAGAGATTTTTCATTAACCCTAAATATGCCCCAAATGGCCACTAATCCAATTCATACTAGGCATATAATTAATGTTTGCCATATTTAATTAGGAAAAAATATCCTTAGCATATCTTTTTTTTTTCAAATACTGGTTCAAGTATAACCAACCAACAAGTGGTCCTTAGTTATTTAACCTAAAGTTCTTGAACTAACTCCTGTTTTCTCTTCATGGATATGGAAGTCATTATGGATAGTGAAATGTATTGCTAGAATCAAAATTAGAATTAATCTTTTCCCATAATGTGCACAGAATGAAGCATGCACTCTGTCCTGATCATAGAATCATAGATTTAGTTGGGTGAGATCTTAGAGGTTAGCTAGTATAATCCTTTCATTTTGCCATCAAGGAAACAGAGGCTTATTGAGGGCCAGAGCTGGAAAAGTCTAAATATGGGATTAGGAATTTAGGCTAGAGTTTGCCTCTTCCCTTTTCCTACCATAAAGGCTTAATTATTCAGGCCATTTACCTCACCAACTTTCTAGTGCCTAAAAGGTTAGAATACTCTGATCCTTAGACTTTGATGGTAAGCAGGTGTGGACAATTGAGGATGCACATAAGGGCTGGGGTTAGTCACATAAGAATGGTGAGAATGTCTCGGGGATGATTGTTAGCTTTCCCTATATAATATGGACCCTCAGGAAAATTAATGGCTCAGTTTTTCATTGACCTGCCTGGCCCACCTGTCTCATTTCACACCCCTCCGTTTGATGCAATACTTAGTCGTGGGCAACAGCTTATGAAGGTTCAGTGACTTGCTCAGTGTCACAGAGGTAACAAAGACCAAAGCTGGGGTTTGAACACAAATCCTCTAATTCCATATGGCAGGATAAAGATAGTGATTTTAGATTAAGGAACTCTAGCTGCTTTTGCAGATACTATACAGTCTTCAAGTATGGAGCAAAGTCCTTCCATCTTCTTTTCTTTGGTGACTTGCACAACCTCTGTCATGTACAGAGAAAGGTAGGAGGCCCAGTATGTATGGCATGTTGGACTTGGGGTCAGAAAAGACCAGAATTCAAATCCTGCCTCAGACACTGACCCTGAGCAAGTTACTTAAGTTCTCTCAGTCTAAGTTTGCTTATCTGTAAGAAGAGAGATAATAATAGCATGTATCTCATAGGGTTTTTGTGAGGATCAGATGGGAAAGCTTCTGTAAAGCAATTTGCCATAAAGTGCTCCATAAATGCTATTATTATTGTTATTATTATCTTTATTATTTCCAATAAGCGGTCATCCAGCATTTGTTTGAAGACCTTATGTGAAGAGGCACCCATTACCCACCCAGATAGTCCATCCTACTCTTCCACTTGTGAATAGCTCTAATTATTAGGAACCTTTCCTAGTCTCAAGACTGCTTTTGCTTCTCTGAACCGGATACCCATCATTCCCAGTTCTGTGCTCTGGTGCCTTCCCTCTGGGGAGTTTGGGTATCTCTAAATGTATAAGGTGAACAATGAACTTTAAAGGGAGTGAGGAGTTGGTTGACGCATGATGTTGCCTTTTTCCTATTGGTACCAAGCAGGAAAAAACAAAACAAAACAAAACAAAACAAACAAAAAACACCTAACCCCTCTTTCATGGGATAGTTCTTCAAATACTCCAAAAACACTTCTCATGTCTCTTCTCTAGGCAAAAAATCCCCAGTTCCTTCAAATGTTATGGAATTATCTGAAGGCCCTTTACCTTTGTGATTGTGCTTTTCCAGGCACTGCAGTTTATTGATGTCTTTCTTTCTTTTTTTTTTTTTATTGATGTCTTTCTTAAAATGTGGTATACAGATTGGAACACAGTCTTTATGATTGTGTCCAAAGTTCCCCAAACAATATCACTTTGCAGTAATTTTTTTTACTATATTGTAACAAAACCTGACTTTAATTTCACAAAAATCCCACTGTCACACTAAGAACATAGGCTATTAGATTTAGAGCGGAGATGACCTTAGATATTATTTAGTCCACATTGCTGCCCATTTTAAATATGAGAAATGGAGACCTAAAGAGTTTGTGACCTGCCCATGATTGCAAATGAAGTGACATAAATAAGGTTTTGAGCTGAAGTCCAACAGCTCTGGTTCCAAACCTTGACACTTTGTCTATCGCACCATGTTGCTTCTTCATTTGATCAAATGTCCCCAACTGGCCCCTGCATCATTGTTTTCCCTAACATGATGTTTTCTTGGAACCCATTAGTGATGTCAGACAGTCTACCCTTGTACATAAGGTAAAAGAAGTCTGGAATTTAAACACTCAGCCTAGATATAGTGCAGCTTGGGGTAACTATAAGTGTTAGGGGGGCTGAAACATGCAAAAATTGAGAATCTGGTTTAGGACATGGAATTTGGGAAGAAGAGGGCAGAGTGCTCAAAAAACAAAACCCAAAAACCCAGTGAGAGGGAATCAAAGAAAACAACTTTTGCCTACTGCATAATTTTGCCTAGGTCCAGCCCTACCAACCTACTCATCTTTTCCCCACATAAATGAGAACTCCTCTGGAAATGAGAAATATAGAGGAAAGAAAAAAATAATTCAAGACCTTCCTGGAGGCCAGATGTGCTATGTGTTTGGTTTTTCTTTTGGAGGGAACAGTTTTTCAATTTTGGTTTCTTCAAATTGCAGTTGCAGGGTTGTTTTTTTTTTAAACATCTGTTATTCTAAGCTTGACTTTGTCAGCCCTGTGCTAAGCTACATCATTACCACTTTGGGTTGTGTGACATCTTAAACTCATTTGAGAATTTCAAACATTTTAAAGATTTTAATTTTCACAGTCAAATACATTACTGCCTCCTTGTAACAAGCTCACCCTTTGGTGGATTTCCTTCAGTGACATCTATCTCCTGACCATACCACTAAAGCCGGGTAAAAGCTAGTGAGCTCATCAAAGCCAGGTGTATTCTGTTCCCTAATGTAAAGGAGTTTTATTGCCTGTGGTTTCCTGAGCAGCTCATATGATTACAAGGGTCGAGTTGACATTAAGCAGGACTTTAAACATTTCCTTTTGTATGAAATAAAATGGCATTCTCCATCAAATGACTTATTTGATGGAAATATTTTTTAAAAATCTTTTTTTTTTACTGAACTTACATTAATAAAGTAAAGGATATCAACAATAGGGCTGTGAAAGCTTTTGTGGGAATGAGTAACTTCAAAACAACTTTCAACTTTGCTAAATTCACCTGACATTGGAAGTAATAACCATATCACCTGAAATTTTACTGTTAAGGTGAGTAACATTCTCTGGTTAATGTTACATCCTGGAGAGTTAGGTGTTTACAGTTTTTTTTTAGTTGCTTCATCATGGGGGCAAGGGGGGCTGGGGTTGGAGGTGGGAATTCAATTCTGGGCCTGAGACTCAAAGACCTTAAGCTAATAAAGGGACTCAGAGATCAGAGATGCTATTACAGTATCACTTTCCCTTACATTCCACTATTTCAGCTTTCTTGAGTCTGACCTGAGGTTACCCTTTATCTAATGATAAAATACCCCAACTTTTTCTATCAGACTTGAAATCACTATATTTTATAGTAGCAATGTTATTAAATGAACAAAAATTTATTAAACACCTACCATGTGGCAGATATTTTGTTAGACTCTAGGGATGTAAAGACTTTTGCTGTTGTAGTTTTCAGTGGTGTCTGACTCTTCTTGACTCATTTGGGGTTTTCTTGGCAAAAATACTGGAATGGTTTGCCATTTCCTCCTCTAACCCATTTTACAGCTGAGGAAATTGAGGCAAACAGGATTAAGTGACTTGCCCAGGGTCACACAGCTAGTAAGTGTCTGAGGCTGGATTTGAACCCAGGAAGAAGAGTCTTTCTGACTCCAGACCTAGTGCTCTATCCACTGCACCACCTGTCTGCTCTATACAAAGACTAAAAATGGCCTAAAAACTACAAAAAGAAGACTTTTAAAAAAGAAGCAATCATTGCCCTCAAGAAATGCATAGTCTGCTAAAAGTAGGATGACGAAACAACATGTCCACCAAAAAGTAATATAAAATATCAGCAAAATAGATATGCAGTAATTTCTGGTGAGGGGTAGCACTAGCAACTGTGTGTGTATGGGGGAGGGGAGTAGTGGGAGGCAAGGGCTTGGGATAGGCCTTCTGTAGGAGGTGGCCCTGCTGGAGCTGAGCTTTGAAGGAAGCTAGGGATCTTAAGGGCAGCTTAGATATACTAAGATAGCAAATTCTTCCTCACTTGCAATGTTTATAGAGTCTGGATGACCATCTTGGGATGTTATAGACAGTAAGTAGTACTGCATCAAACTGGGGGGTTAGGTTAGATGACATCTAAGATCACTTCCAGTTCTATGATTCTAGGCATCTATGAGCCAATTACCAATTAGCAATGTAATTCCTAGGACCTGATTCTACCAATTTGAGATGTTTTATAGCAGATTTCTATTGAATGTAATCCTTAAGGTTATCATTCCCAACATTTTAAGTTAATTTAACTATGAAATGGTCCCTGATCTTTCTGAGTTAGACAAAAATCTGGAACCCAGTGGGGAGATCTACTAATTAACCATGGACTTAAAAATATTGATTTTGAAGGTTTGCATGTGTAAAAATGAACAAAGCCACCAATGATTAACTTTTCTCTGATATATTAGGGCACCAAGACTGAGAAAACACTTGTCTCATTGCAAATTGCATAGGATTATGACTTAATTCTCATCCTTCCTTTCTGCCCCCTCTGATTCTCCTCATTTCTCTTTTCCCCACTTTCTATCCTCTAGTGATTATCTACTAGGAAGCAGAGGTTACTGGAACGTACGACTGACCTACCAATAACTTTCTGTATGGACTAAAGGAAATTATATTACATTTAGGCTTTGTTTAAGGTTCTTCCTCTAAAAAAGTGTTTGATAGCACACCAACAATATGCAGTATGAATACAAATGAATGAACATTGTTCAGTAAGACAGATAAAACTTCTTTGATCTCGACACCTAAAGAAATTTCACTTGTGATCTGCTTTTGTGTTTAAGCCTGTTAGTCTTCAAAAATGAGCATTGGTATTTTTGGTACTGCTCACAAATGCATTTTTTGGTGCACGTTGGAGGAATTAGAATAAGGTAAGCTCTGATTTTCAATTTAATCTGCAAAAAATATGTTTGTCTCTGAAGGAGATTCCACCTCCCTCCTTCTCTCCCCACCAAGATGATTTTATCATTCTTACCTTAGAAGCTTCAAAATCAGCATGGAGGTTTCCTGAAGATAATCCACTCAGAAGGACAATTTCATTTTCCTTTGGTTGTTGGACATTCATAGAATTGATAAGCTTTGGGAGATCTGGTGACACACTGACCAACTTCTGTAGAGTGAGAATCTTAATTTAGTTGAGATTTATAGCATTTCCATTATTTAAATGAGGGCATTCTTGCAATGACTTATTCAACCAAAATACATTCAGTTAAATTGTGTCCCTTTCCCCCTACCCCAATGTCCCAAAGCTACTTTATTTGTAAAAGTCATTTATCTACTAATAGGCATAAGAACAATCTTTTTTGAATCTGCTGAGGTTAGAAGAAGTAGAAGTAGCTTTGAATTGAAGCCTGCGCATTCCAGTTAGACTAAGGAAAAAAACTCCTAACTGTAAAACCGGAGAAATTAGAACATATTGATGTAAATGATGCTCTTTAAAACCTTTTTCAAGTTCAAATATTATTGTTTTTTTAAATATAAAGTCCAGGTTATAAGGAACATGTTTTTAAATAATTATAATAATAATAGATAGATAGCATTTATATAATAATTTTAAGATTTGCAAACCACTGTACATATGTAATGTCTTCTGATCCTCACAATAACCCAATAGGTGAGCACTATTATTATCCTCATTTTACAGATGAGGAAACTGAGGTGAAAGATTAAATGACTTGCCTAGGATCACACAGGTAGAAAATGTCTGAGGTTCGATTTGAATTCAGGTCTTTCTGATTTCAAGTTCTTCCCCATTATAGTACTTGGCTGGCTAGGTGGCAGTTTGTATCTAATTTCTAAAGCGGTTTGTGTCTGATTCTTTATGTAAAACTGGTTGCTAGAAATGACAAATGGGTATTTCTTTCTAAGAGGTTAGTCAATAACCTTCTTATGTTGGGGAAAAAAGAAATTTCCAGTTCTATTGCTCATCGTGATGCCATTGAGACCAAAGTCTCCCAGCTTTTTTAATCAACCACTCAATCAACAAAGATTTGTGGTGAAACTATAGCTTGGGTGAAGAAGAGTAATAAGGTTGGAAAGATGGGTTAGAGTCAGATTGTAAAAACTTTTAAATTTTAAACTGAGGAGTTCAGATTTGAACCTAGGGAGTCACCGGAGTTTGTTGAAAATCACTTTGGCTGCTGTACCATGAATGGCAGGACTTGTGGCAGGAGGACCAATTAGAAAGGTATTGCAGGAGTCTGAGTGAGAGGTGATGAGTGCCTGAACCATGGTGGTGGTTGTGAGAAGAGAAGTAGATGGAAACAAGAGATATCTTAGCTAGAAAGGACAAGACTTGATAACTAATTGAACATGTGGGGTGAGTTAGAAGGAGGAGCCAGTGATGCTCACAGAGCTGTGAACTTATCTGACTAGGAAAATGGCAGTGCCCTAGACAGATATAGGGCCTTTCCCTAATGAAGGATATGTAGGAATTATGGGAAATGGGCAAAACTCTGGAAGTTAGGAAATCAAACTAAGGTTGTTGACTTAATGATTTCTAATAGCCTAAGGCAAGTGGTAAAGAGATCAACTTAAGCAAGGAAAGTTAAGTTGCCAATGCTCAAAAGCAATAAGAGAAAAGCTTTTGATGACAAGTTGGCTTGAGGTTCCAAAGCATGAGATTTGAGATAACCATTCAAAATAACATCCTTTCCTCTTTGCATCTGTATAAAATGCTTCCCTTTCTCTTGCATGTGTCTCCATTGATTGTCCTGGGTGCTCTTAGTGGATTGGAATCTTGCCATGTTGAATTATCCTTTGTTAATTAGTACGATGGCACATGAAAATGACCTTTATTACCACCATGTAAATGACTAACAGAGTTTGCTAGAAGAAAGGGTCTGTATGGCAATAAGCTATCACTATCCCGTGGAAACTGTACAGGTGCTGATCTGGGAGGGAGCCAGGCCCTCTTACTGCCTGTCTTTTGCTCATGACAGTGGGCATTTTCAGTAACATTTTGACCAGAAGGTACATAAGAGAAAAGAAAGTGAAACAAAATTTTGCTCTTTCCTAGCATTCTTCCAGAGAGAGCATTAATGTGATTAGTTAAAATGTCAGCTTATGTTCTTTGTGGCAACAGTATTGTCATCTGTGAAGAACTGATAATTTACTAGTTACTTTATTGATCTACATGTAGACTGAATTAAAAAACAAAACAAAACAGCTCTGAACAGGTAGTATTTGTTAGTGCATACCTATACATGGGGTGTGTGTGTGTGTGTGTGTGTGTGTGTGTGTGTGTGTGTGTCTGTCTGTCTGTCTCCCCTTCAAAGAAGCCTCATTTTAGAGGTTTGGTCTATATCATGACCATCAACTATGTTTATCCCCAATAAGCATATCAGAAGGCAGGTGAAAGATCAGTTATTCGGGAATGCCAAGTTTATTCTACCAGGGACTGCAGGAAGGAGATGGACACAGATTTGGAAATTGGAGAAACCTTAGGGCACTACTTAATTAGACAAAGCAAAATGACCATATGCCTGCCTGATGGTAAAAGAGGAACTTTGTTGTGATCATCATTTCCCTCAGAAGTCTTTTGGAATCTGCAGCACTTGTAAAAGGTAAAAGGAAACAAATGATGTGGGGATGCTCCTGGGCTGTGCTAGCTTACAGATGTAGTGGTAACCCTGGCTCATTACCTGTTGTAGGTGCTCATTGTTGCAGTCTTCTTTGGTGACATCCAGGTTCACAAAACATACCTACAATGAAAAGAGAAAAGAAATTTAAGAGGTTCACATGTGTATAGAAATAGAGTGCCAGACCCTTTAAAAATCTGATGACACATATTTCTGTAGGGCACTACAGTTTTCAAATCACACTTATAGTATCTTGTTTTGATCCCCATTGCAACTTTGTGAGGTTGGAAGCCCAGTTATTATTGCTCCCATTTTGGAGATAAGGAAACCAGAGCCTAAGAGGTGATATGATAAGCCTAGCTAGCAAGTGATAGGATCTGGTCTGCTGTCTCCTAGGCTGGTGCTACTTCTGCAGAAATTGGTTGGGCATTCTTAATAAGTGAATGAATTACTCATACCTCAGATAAATAGAATTTCTTTATTAGGGAAGATGTATGATCATTGATCAAACACATAGTTTTGGGAGGGACTTACATGGAGGAGAATGATTCCTAATTTAGAGGCCTGATGTTCAGAGACAGAAAGAAAAGTTCCCTGGGGGTATCCCCTTGAGGCTAACGCTCCCAGAAAAACTCTCTTTCATGGACCCTCAGTACTAAAAAGGCTGCTTAGGAGAGTAAACATGAATTCTATAGGAAAGGGATCCGAAAGGCCACCTGGCCTCATACTCTTATCTACTGAGTTCCAAAGATTCTGTAGCTGCTACTCAGATTTGTGAAAAATCTTCAGAAGCCCATAACATGCCAGGAAGTAAGAAGACTTGTTAATGACTTCTAGCAGACTACTCCTCCCACCCCCCCTCCACCCTTTTAAAAGGAAACGAACACTTCTTTTATTCAATTTTATGAGTACTAATGTGAGTTTAACCTACAGATTTGACATCTCAGAACTGGGACTTGGTATGTCAGTGTGTCAGATTAGGGATGCATGGGAGCCAGTGTATGTAGAAATGTATATAGATATAGATATTAATCTCTATGTATATATGTGTGTGTGTGTGTGTGTGTGTATGTGTGTGTGTGTGTGTTTGTGTATGAGAGACAGGGAGAGGGAGAAGGAGAGGGAGAGAGAGAGAGAGAGAGAGAGAGAGAGAGAGAGAGAGAGAGAGAGAGAGAGAGAGAGAGAGAGAGAGAGAGAGAGAGAGAGAGGGAGGGAGGGAGAGAGAGGGAGAGGAGGCTGGGTGATTGACAAAGGTCATCGAGGACCTGACAGTTCTTGAGAATACATGATTGAAGACTTGTCAGTCCTTATTGCCTGCCCAGCGGCTATCAATAAAGTCACTCCCATCCTACTTAAAGTAAGTAATAAGATGCCAGTACCTAAAGAGAACAATTTTTAATCAACTAGCCAATCAAAGACTTCAGATTAAGGGTGAAAAGTCCCTTGATAAACCAAAGTGGTTTTACACGTAGTACATTCAGATTGGTTGAAGAAACTTAGTCCCATGATAAAATGTCAGACCAGTGTAAAATAGCAAGATAGAGATTTGGAGTAGAGATTTTGAGGGTCTGACAGTGGAGAGGGAATAGAGATATCCAGAGCTGAATCAGAGAGAACTGGCAGCCCCAGGGCCATCCAGTAAAAGTGAGAGAAAGTAGGGCTGAACTGAGGAAAAGAAGGGAAATATTAATGAGGGCCATGGCCCTACAGGTCACTTGGATCAGAAAACTTGGGTTGAAGCCACTATTTGGACCCACCTCCTCAAGGATGGAGAAAAGTTCCATAGAAAAGGTCTGCCCTTTACCCAGTTTCCCCTTCCAGTGTCTGTTTATCAACCAACAGACAAGGTAAACACAACACTGCATTATTACCCAAATCTTTTCAGTAACTGATTTTGCCTTAACCACCAGGAGGTGAGGGGTTAACTAGAGTTAGATATAAATGCAAGGGCAGAGAGCCACATTTCTGCCTAAATGCTAGAAATTTCTTTAACTGGGAGTTCAGAATGGTTGTACTTGTTCTTTTGTCTAAACTGTCTAAAGCAGAAGAGAATAGAACCACGGGGACCTAAGGAATCCGTATCTCACCCCTTGGAGTGAAAAGAGCTAATTGTTATAAGCAGGTGTTACAACAGGATTGGAGATTTAGAGCTTGATAGGACCTTAGAATTTCCTCTGACCTTGCTCATTTTACAGTAAATGAGGCCAGATAGGAAAAGAAACTTTCCCAAGGTCTCGTGGTAGTAAGAGAGAACACTGGGAATTTGAACCTAGACCCACTGATATTAAATCTAGTACTTTCTCACTGCCCCCTGAGGTTGTGATCCTATTATCATGACCATATGGTTCAGTGATTAGGGACTCATGACATGAGAAGGCTTAAAGCTGTGCAGATGATTCTACTCAGTGTGATTACTGAGAATCAGGCTTCTGACTTAGGAATGACTGGGACACATCTGTAACATTAACCTGACCCTGCAGCTATCTCATTAGAAATGTTTATTCTGTATTTATTTTATATGTCTTTTAAAGAAAATAGTATATTACTTAGTGCCCTCTATCTTTCACCCCACCCCCAACCCCACTTGGCATCTCTTGTACTCTTTGGTCCAGATGACAGTGGGGAGGAGGGAGTGGGGAAGGGACACCTTTATCTCTGACAGTAGGTTAATCTTCCTTCAAATAAGGCATTGGATGTTTTGAACAGGATGCATTTAATCTCTTGAGTGCTGTGGTTGAGGTGGTGGCAGCAGGGAGGGGCTCCTTTTTGGCTTTGAGGAGACTGGCTGCTTTTTCTGCAGCAATGTAGAAACTGTGGGGAAATGGGCAAGGGAAACATAGATGATCAGCAGTTCTCAAACTTTTTGATCTCAGTACTCCCTTTATACTCTTAAAAATTAATGAGGACTCCAAAGAGTTTGTATTTATGTGAGTTCTATCTATTGATTTTTACCATGTCAAAACTGATAAACTTTAAAAAATATTTATAAATTTATTTAGGATAACAGTAAACCCAATTACATGTTAACATAACATATATGAAAAATAAGTATATTTTCCAAAGGGAAGAAAATTTAGTGAGGAGAGTAGCAATGTTTTACATATTTTTGCAAACTTCTGGATTAATAGAAGACAGTTGGATTCTCATATCTACTTCTATGCTCCATCTGTTGTGATATGTTGTTTTAATTGAAATATATGAAGAAAATTCAGCCTCATACACATATATAGTTGGAAAGAAGAAGGATATTTTGATAGACAAATAATGTATTGTTAGTATTGTTATGAATTAGTAATGTTATGGAAATAATGATGATGATAACTAACATTTGTATAGTGCTTACTATGTGCCAAGAACTGTATTAAATACTTTGCAATTATTGTCTCATTTGATCTTTACAACAACTCCAGAAATCAGGTCCCATTATTATTTCTATTTTACAGATGAGGAAACTGAGGCAATTGATGGTGAAGTGACTTGCCTAGGGTCACACAGCTAGTTAGTGTCTGGGGCTGGATTTGAACTCAGTCTCTTTGACTCTAGGCCCCACATTCTATCTACTGAACCAACTAACTGCCCCAAATAGTTTTGACCTTGTGGACTCTGGACCCCCAGAGTTCTTGGGCACTTTGAGAACTGCTGAACCAGATGTTTAAACTTGCCATGGGCTTCAACCTATTACTTATCAATCTATCAGTGACTGATATGTTTTAATTTCAAAATTTGAGGGAACACAGAGTCTACAAGAGATGCTCTCTAGGGTTTAGTGAAGCCAAACAGTCATGATGAATGAGGTATTTCATAATTAGCATTTTCCCACTTTCTGTGTCCTTAGAATGTTGGCATAAGATTTAGGCACTGACCAAAAATTGGTCTTCACATGCAAAGATGAAATACTTGTTTGTTGGGTAGAAGAGCTAATCTGGCAAGGCATGGGAAAAAGAATGGATCCAGAGTCAGAAAACTTAAGGTTAAGTTCTAGTGCCTCCCAAAGGAGCAATGTAACTCACTTAACCCTTCTGTTCTTCAGATCCCTTATTTATAAAATAGAGATAATAGCATTATACATTTCTCAGAGTTTTTGTGAGGAAAATATTGTTTAGCTTTAAGGTGCTATACATGAGCACAAGTAATTTGTTATAATTCTGAACTCACAAAATGGATGATTGTTACTAGTGGGTTTGGGGCAATTTGAAGGTTTCTTTTAAGGTACCTGGCTTTAGGGTGTTGAGTCTATGCTTTGTAGAATATCCTCTTTCCCCCTGTAATTATTCATTCAATAATAAATACTTATTCAGTAACAACTAGGTGTTGGGTGCTCTGGTGGGTACTAGGTAGGCAAAGACATAGTTGGTGTGAGTATTATTTGTATACCTATTACACAAGTATGTGTGGATTTATTAGAATCTGCTACCTCTTCTAAACAAGAATTGGGGGAGGTAATAATCCATGGACTTTATTCATCACCTCTCCCCCTCTCCAGCTCCTTTATATTGAATTCTTCCTTTTGCTAAACCCCATCAGTGGTTCATTGTGGATGTGACAATGACTTTTGGAGTCAATACCAGTTGTAGTTCAAGCTCTAGAGGATCCCATGAAGCTGGAAGGGCTTGGCTGTGATCAGAGGAGGATGAGTCTATCCTAGTGCAGAGAAGATTGTCAGCTGTTGCCAATAGGTGGCACATTTTGTATTGCTCTTTTAGCTGTACTAGCTAATGAAGGCTTTTAGCAAGGACTTGAAGGGTTTTGATACCCATTGATGGAGATAGTGATAAAATAATGGAACTTTGAAGTACAGAGAGGTCTAATTTTATTCAAAGAAATGGAAGTGCTCTGTTGGACGTGATCATTGTGTTATCAGAGATAATGGTAGACAAAGAGAGTGCTGGGATAATTGCTTCCTTTTGCTAACTAGTGAATCACAGTAGTGTCTCAGCCCTATTACTATTCCATTAAGAATTTAGGAGAATGTATAGGAATCACAGATAAGGATGTGGGAAAATCTGTCCAGTTAATAAGTACCCAGTGATTGGTCAAAACTAAAATGATACTGGTCACGTGGATCATGGATTCATTAAGAAGTATCAAAAAGAGCTGTAATTCACTTTGTGATTAGAATGAAT